TTAGCTTTAATTCAGTTAGTTCCAATAAAGACAGCAGCCTCCACAGAGATTGTATGAATGCCACCAGGAACCCTGTTTTTTTTTTGTTTTTCCAAACTTTAAATCAAAGAATCCATGCTCAAACTGGCATGTTACACCTACAGTCACCAAAATTAGCAATGTTACATTTGTCTTAGGTTGGGGAGCACATATTTGTGAAGGATAACAAAGCAAGTTGCAGATACAGTTCCACAGAACACACCAAGGCAATTTAACAGCTTATTTGTCTTAACACACAGATCTCCTTCACTGCACAAGTTGAAGCTGCTACAATACACAATCATTTTATAATATTTTTTTTGCAACAGAACATGAACAAAAGGTCAGATGGTAAATTAAAAAGTAGAAAAATAGTGATAGTGAAAAATATACCTTATTCTCCTACATGTCTCATACCCACAAAACTTTGAGCAGATTAATCCCCAACTATACAACAGCCAGGCTGGATGGGGCTCTGAGCAACCTGGTCTAGTGGAAGGGAGGTGGAACAAAATGATCTTTAAAGTTCTTTCCAACCCAAACCATTCTGTGATTCTGTACTAAGTGTACCAGCCCCTGGAAAACTGCCAGGAACACTCAGAACTTCACCTCCATTTCAGGAACACAGAATATGCTCATTTACTGACACTAAAGTGGTAAAGGTTTAAAACTAAACATGCAAGTAAATAGTAGGTAAGAGTATTTTAAATTGACATGGGCTCAAGTTTTTCCTCTCAGGCAGGTCTGCAGAACAGCGTGGACTTACTGCCTGCCTGGACAAGGACTCAGGAAGCTGTTCAGCCTTCCACCCATGTCATGGCCAGCAGGCACATATGTACAACAGTGGCCAAAAAACCAGTATGAATAGAGCCTGGCACAAAGGGGAACACAAAACACTGGAGAAAGACATCAGGCCACACAAAGGAACCTCAGCACAGCAAGAGGCAGTGGGTAAACTGTTCTGACTTCTGTAAAGGACAACTCCTGTGGGGTCACAGACACAGAACTCCTCTCCAGAGGGAGAAAAGGCTCTCCTGCAACAAGCCCACACCTGGATTCCCCTGGTCTCAGCAGCCCCTATTGCAGCTGCCAACCAACCAGTGGTTTCCCCAAAACTCCTTCTCCTCTCCCTCATCTCCTTCTGCCCAAAGGAAGGTGTGGAAGACAGAGAAAACCTCAGATTTATAATACAAATTCGGTTACAACTTCACCTCAGAGGCTGCCACATGTATCAGAATGGCCTGTAAAAGCTCGGACCTAAAGAACAAAGGCATGCAAAAGCAGACAAATTAAATTTAATTTTATTATGGAAATGAAAGCAATAACAGAAGTGACAGCAGGGTGGATGATAAGCTCACTTAGCAGGGGGATCAAATGAAGTGATGACATGTCATTATGACCTCAGGGGTTAAAGATGCAATTTTCCATCTGGCTGCATCTGGCTTTTCAACAGAAATGTTGACACCACCTGCCAAGATTTACCACAAGCTGCCTCCATAGGTCTTTGTCGAGCCTTTGTTATCCAGGTTAACATTTACTTCTCCCTCTTTTCTGCTAAGTTTTGCTGAGCAACATTCTCCCTTTCTCCAAAGCCTAGTAACAGTTAACAGGATTTACGTGCCAGTTCGTACAGCAGCTGAAATTATTAATAGTCACCTCAAAAGCAGCTTAAAGAGAAATATTAGAAACCTAGAAAGCAGGTAAAACTAGCTTTAAGATTGCAAACAGGAAGGCAAAATTTTAGCTACACTTGTTAATATCTTGATTGTCTAAGACATTTGGAAATCTATTTTTCTCTTAGTACCAGGCACCTGATTAAAACCATTTTTCTAAAACAGAAAATAAAATCCTTAGCATTAAAGACCTAGTTTGTACTCCCCATACCCAACTGACTATTAGCCACCTGCATGTGTTTTATTCAGCAGCTTAATCATTTCCAATTCCAGATACTCTGTGCTTAAAATAAATCAGCTCTTGCCAGCCCAGTGACACATTCACTTATTCATCTAATTTCCCCACAGCCAAACCATGATCTCAAACCAAATTTGTAATCAGCCATTGACACACTGCTGGCTATAAGGTTTTTGTTTCCACGTGGAATATTTAAAAGCTGGTACCTACCAGGGGAGTTCCTCTTCATCTGGAACAGGACTGTGTGCTTATTGCCACTGGATGCATCCATTACAGTTTTGCCTGTGCCAAGCTTTTTTCCTAAACCTGCATCTCCCAGACTGTTCTCTGCCAGCACAGGTGAGCTACAATGTTTTCTTCCAGCTGTTTTTAAAGTGACCAGATTCTTCTTTCAAAAGAACCTACAGTCTGTTTCAACTGTTTATAAAAAAAAAAAAAAAAGAGGCCCCAACCTCCCCCAGGACTTGGTTACATACCAGGGAAAGAGGGGAAGAAAAGGAAAACCCTCCATGGATTTTGAGAGCACTCTCAGTTATGAAAAGACAGGAGGAAATGGAGACAAAGAAGCTTCCAAGGAGCAAAGGATAACCAAGAAACAAAACAAAGTATCTAGACCCGCTGGAGATGAAAATAACTACATTGAAAGACCACCACAAAAATACCTATGAATACCTTCCCCTCACACAACTCTCTCACCATAAAGGGAATTATAGAATCATAGAATGGTTTTTGGGTTGGAAGGGACCTTAAAGCCCACCCAGTTCCACCCCCTGCCATGGGCAGGGACACCTTCCACCAGCCCAGGTTGCTCCAAGCCCCGTCCAACCTGGCCTTAGACACTTCCAGGGATGGGGCAGCCACAGCTTCTCTGGGCAACCTGTGCCAGTGCTTCAGAGGGAGTTAGCAGAGGGATGTCATAACCTTCTTCCCCTGGTATGGAAGATGCACCACCCTCCTCTCCAGATGCCTCACCCTGGGGAGCTGGGAACCCTTGTCCTGAACAGACAATTGGTCGCCCATTTCTGCATCTGTCAAGGTATTTTCTGAATGACAAGCGAACTTTTGGTTTTCCCTTCTACGTAAAGGAATAAAACAAAGTGTTCCCATTCACTTTGCACATGCTGAACTTAAAACACATGCTTCACTGCTAAACTGAACAGGAATGACTTCAGCATATGCTTAAATGCTGTCCTGATTCAGACCTAAAAATAGGAATGGTTTCTGCGGTTCCTCTTTCTCCCGCTCTCCTAATGACAGACAGCTATTGTGCCCTGTCACTCTGACAATAAGAGAGCTTAATTGCCCTCTTTCCAGCAGCTGTCAGTTCTGCTTAACTGGGACATAATGTGAGAGTCTGGGAGGAAACGTGTTAATCTATCAGTCACTTATAGCTACTGTGCATTTTCCTGGGCTGGATTTAAAGAAAACCCTGGGGTTTATGACTGACTTGCTAGACATTATATTCATTGATATGGGCAGCAGTGATATTACTGTCTTATGACTCATTTCTTTGTGAAAGATCCATGAAATAACTTTCTCCTTCTTTATTTACTGCACTTTTTCATCTCAACTTCAACCTGAACGTGAATTTCCCCACACCTGGGGAATTTCCCACGCATTTAAGGTGTGGCCAAAAAAGGCCTCCTCAAATATGACAGTGTAAAATGAACTGGCTGATCCTGGAATTAATGAGGATTGATGAATCAGAATGTTTGGAAACACCTGTAGTTGCTTTAGAGTGTTTTGTGCATTGCTATTTATAGGAACACAGTCACTGAAAGCACACAGAGGAGAATAAGAATCAACATCATCTACAATGCATAATAAGCAGCTATAAACTGAGGGTCTTTAATTCTCCAAGAAGTTCTGATAAGGTCACACCTAAACCTACAGCCTGTGCAGGCTCAGGTCTCTGTAACATTCCCCTTTCTGATCATAATTATTACCAATTTCCCTCCATATCCCCTTACTGCTCCTTGTGTCTCGTGCACTGAAGTTATTTTTCTCCCACACTCTCTTGTTAAATGGTGAACTGAAAAGCAAAGACTAATTTTAACCAGTTTTATGAGTCTACATTTTGCTATATTAACCAGTATGAAAATGGCATTTTTTTGTGTTTACATCAGTAGTGCCTATTCCAACTCACACCTTCTTTTGTGGCCCTTCAGAGAAGGCTGTGAAGACGTAAAAAGGAAGGAAGAAAACACAAAAGCTGTATGGAAAACAGAATAAATCTGACAAGAACAATATAAAGCTTAGTAAGATTTGAACATGCAGCTTGCTTTAATCATTTAATCCACTTTCCACTGTTTTCCTACTGACACTTTTGGTTTTAAGCCATTAAAACATGCTGATATTGTAACCAGTCTGACTGCAAACTTCCCAAAACTCTGGAAATAAGCCATGCTGACGCTGTTGAAAGAACACAGGTGAGGCACAGAAGTGCTGAAGTGCAGGGACTTTGCCTGGAAGTGGCAGAGTCACTGTTTCCTCTCAAGTGAAGTGGAAGCCAAAGCACATTGTCAGGGAGAGGGAGCTGGCAAACAGCTCCAGGGGCAGGAGCACACAGTGCATGGAGATTTGTGACACTTACTCTGCTGTTGATAATCAATTGCTACAACTGCTACAGCCCATAAATCAATGTTTCATACAGCTGTCAATGGTCTGCCTGTGCTGTCAATTCAATTCAGAACTAGAAGTTATTTCTTACCTTTATCCTGAAGTTATATAAGTGATATAGAAGCTTTTTTCTTCCTGAGAGATTGCAGTGGAATGAAAATTCTCCAGAAGCTGTTTTTCCCCAAAAAAACCCCCCTATTAACAGATTCACAAAAACTCACATTTTTATTTAAAATGCAATTCCTCCCCTCCTTTCTCCAGTCATGTCACTGCATAAAAAATGCACTGAATATCTCCACAAGAATAGCTGGACAGACACAGTTACTAAATGAAAAAGAGTGATCATATTTCCACATATAGGGGTCAGAATTTCTTTTTACTTTGCTGATACTTATTCATAGATGAAGTATGCTGAAAACATTACCCACATCAATAACTACTGAAGAACTTACTTGATTTTTTGAATCCAGATGCAATAGTCTGTAATGAAGAGATCATTAAGGATGTAGGCAGGGTCACTCTCCCTGAAAATCTTGTGAATGTCCAGCAGACACTTCAAAACTGCAGCTTTTCCTGGAAATAGATTTTTGTTTTTGTAAAATCACTAGAAACCTGAATAGATCACATTTATCATCTTCTCACCTGCGAGGCTTTAATAACCACGGTATCTACAACCATCCTGGAACTTTAGAGTTGAATCACAGGCTCAGGACAGCAGCAGTGTAACCATGTCCTTTGGTATCCACATCCCTCTGAATTCAGTGGGAATCTCTCTGCAAGACTAAAGGCTCAAGGCACAGTCATGCATGTAATTCTCCACAGCTGAAGGAGCCCCTTCCCCCAGCTTTTCCACTTCTCCAAGCTGTGCTGTCCCAAACTTTGTAACAGGCACTGAGTGCACTGTATTTTAACCAAAAAAAGAAAAAAAAGTAAACTGAAAAGTAACTCACAAATAACAAAAAGTTATGCCCCATCATTTCTCTGGAGGAAAACACATTTCCCTTTATGCCTCCACAAATACCTGTGCCGGAAAACAGCAAGGTTGGGAAGACACAGCCCTGAGCAGGGTCAAGCACATGGAATTGTGTGAGGCAGTGTGATGATGCCACTGCCCAACAGCTCACCAGGGCCCAAAATTAGGGAAAACTTTTCCTGCTTCTGACTAGTTACCGAATAATTTGGCAAAATGAAAGAAAAACTCCCTTTGGGCTCAGTAAAGGGCCATTTGACACACAGATAATAAACGCAGTAAAAGATTAAAAATCTAAATGATTTATCATTCCACAACCAGAAGGCCTTCTGTTGTCAGTTTGATTTTTCTTTCATATGCAACAATCCAATTAGCTGGAATCTCCTCCCTTAGTTTTCTGATTACAGTTGCTAAAGGGTTAAGTGCTGGAACACTTCAAAAAATTTATTTTTGCTGTTTAATGGGGAAAAAAAACCACCATATTCAAATGAAAACAGCCACTACTGCAAATGGAATCTAATAACCCTCTCCCAAGAGGCTGGCTCCTCCTAGGCTATGAAACCTGAACAGGGATGAAATTACATTTTACAGATTTAGAAGAGGAGGGAAAAAAAAAGGAGGAGGAAAAAAAAAGAAAAAAAAAAAAGATCAGAACTCCCCCTGCTGTTCAAGCACAACATTTGTTTATTTGTTTGTAAGTAATTCCATGCTGCAAAAACCAGAGACAGAGAATGAAAGTTAAAGGATGAGGAAGATGGCAATAAGGAGAAAGAACAAAGAGTGCTAAGCCATGGCAAAGAACTGAAAAACCCACTGGTTTGGGAAACCTACTGCAGAAGTCGGGTAAGAAAACAAAATCCCAAATATAACTGATAACTTTTAGACTGTATCCCCATCAATGCTTTCAAGCCAAGCTTGTCAAACTTCACTATTTTGACTAAAAAGAAGTGAGCTCTTTTAAAAAGAAATGATATGTGGAATTAAAATCTTGCTACTTTTCTCAGGTTCCAGCTGTCAAGCTGTCAGCCCAAAGCATTTACAACATCCACCACTGCTACTCATCTGCCAAGCGACAACGCACATCAGTGAATATCCCACTAATTCTCAATTAAAAAGTCTTTCTTCATAAATTAAAAGTTTTGGATTCCAGGAGCTTAATGGGTGTCTAATTAGAGAGGCTGCAAATCTTGCCAGATGTGGAATAGGGAATCCTGAGTCAAGGCAAACAGGAAGCACAGCAAACTACCAAATGTCTGCTTTTAGAATGTGAGTCCATGTGATTTAACACAGTTTTTGCATCTCTTCTGTGTAAAGTCACAGCTCTGCATTGAACTGATCAATAAATACACTGCTTTTTATGTGCAGATACTATTTCCTGATTATGCAAAAAAACCCCAACATTTTTAAAAGCACAAATATAAAAAGATCCCAACATCTGTAACAGAAAATCCAGAGCAATTGTCTGCAGATCACTGGGTTGTTCTGGAGTTCCTTGCTATGACAGCTGCTACCCCACAGCCTGCAACTTGAATTCTACATTTTCAGAAAGCCAGTCCTCTTTTCACAGACTATTTCAAAAAAAAGGATGTAATTTGACCCCAGCTCTGGATCTGCCATTTGATAGAACAAATTATACTGATTCTACACCATCATAAAATTCTACCACCTTTCATACTGTGTATTTGGAAGCAAAGGAAATTTAAAGTCACATATATCTATTTTACATTATTTTTCCTGAAGACTTCTGTACGTTTCTCCACATTTTCAAGAAGCATTCATCTAAGAAGATAAACTGAACTTAACTGTTTCATTTAAAAGAGAGAACAACAGGATTTTTAAACACAAGAAAAGAACCCTCACAGGCTTTTAAACTGAAACATCCTGCTAATAACTTACCCAGTTAGGCAACAGTACTATCTGTTTTTAATGAGCAGTTGTAGAATTGTAAATACATTAGTGCTAGGTTCTGCATGAAAAGAAGCAAAGGATATTTTATGTTGCAAAAAAGAGCCCAAATGAGTTTTTATTACCAGCTCATAGATGACAACTTCAAAATCACAGAATCAGAGGATGGTTCAGGTTGGAAGGGACCACAGTGGGTCACCTGCTCTGGCAGGGTCATGGATGTACCACTGCCATTTCATTCCCTTTTTCAATCCTACCCAAGGAACAGATAAATACAGTCAATAACTACGTTAATTTTGAACAGTTTTGTGAAGTACTTTAAGTACCACAGATCACTAGAACAGCATATGAAAAAATCTGCTGAGAACCTCAACATTAATCAGCTCAATGCATTTGTCTTACAATTAAGACTTTGGCAGGAAGTCTTAATGCAAAATAAAGTGTTTCAACCACATGCAAGGATCCTTAATAGCTTAAAAATGCAGTATCCTGTATCTTGGAAGTGATCCATCAACATAGGACTAATATTTTTAAAGTCAAGTAACATAACTTGAGGCATTCAGTGCCATCAGAATTCTTTAGTATTTTAAAATATATTAGTTTACTGTGCTTATTATTAGTGAAACATTGCATTACACCGTGTCCCAGCTTCTGTCAACAGCATCCTGAAAGAAATCTCGAGTCAGGAGAGGTCAATTTAAATCAATTCTTCCTTTAAGTTAAACAGCAGTCCTTGAATCTACATGAAAAGCAAGTTTTGTGTTACCATTTAATTGAATTCATTATCTGTTATTGATTTTTACCTATGTCCCTCACACCCATATAACAATACAGTGCCAAATTGATGATGCATCATTTCCAAAGAGGGTAACAGAGTATTTAATGATATCTACACTTAGTCTGATTTGCACAGTGCATACTTTGCTAAGTATTTTGTAAAAACAGAAGGTCCCCAAAAGAATGGTTCAAATACCACTGAAGACTGAAAGGGGAAAGTGTTTGACTGAACAAATGTGTCTTGGTGGTACAAGCATTACCTACAACCCTATTTCTTTTAACAATACCTACACACACTCTTCCCCCACCCTGTTTCTGACTATAGACAGGTAACCCACCCCTTTGGTACCTTTCCAATTCTTTGGCAGTTGGCTCCTTTAAAAAATCAGCACTTTTCACACGCTACAGGCACCATAACAGTAAATACTGATTTGATACACAAACCCCAGAACTTTCAGAAGTTCACTTTCATCACCATTACTTTCATCACTACACTGCCCGTGCCAATCCCAATGGATTTACGTCCACATGAAGTGGAATCACAGAATGGTTTGGGTTGGAAAGGACCTTAAAGACCACCCAGTTCCACCCCCTGCCATGGGCAGGGACACCTTCCACTAGCCCAGGTTGCTCCAAGCCCCATCCAACCTGGCCTTGGACACTTCCAGGGCTGGGGCAGCCACAGCTTCTCTGGGCAGCCTGTGCCAGGGCCTCACCACCCTCCCAGGGAAGGATTTCTTCCCAACATCCCATCTAACCCTGCCCTCCTTCAGCTCAAGGCCTTTCCCCCTTGTCCAATTACTCCATGTCCTTGTCCAAAGTCCCTCTCCAGCCCTCCTGTGTGCCCCCTTTAAGTACTGGAAGGGCCTCTAAGGTCTCCCTGAAGCCTCTTCTTCTCTAGACTGAACAACCCCCAGCTCTTCTCAGCTTTTCCTCATCTCCCTTACCAAGCTACTAAAAAAAATTTTGTTGGATCACTGAAAGTTCACTGCAGTGCCATTTTCCATCATGACATTGAAAGAAGAGCAAGTATCTTATCTCTCATGTACTATCCTCCCTAGAAAAAAACAAATCCAAAAGGTTGACAGCACTGGATCATTGCAGTTTTGTCACCAGAATTTTATTTTTTCACATGTATGAACAGCAACATAAGCCAGTGGAGATAAGTGAAGAAGGACAGCATCTATCTCCCCCTTAAAACTTCACTACCCGACTGCTATAATGTAAATAGTATTTTGAATCAACAGTTTTTGGCAGTGGTAGAGATTAATATTGTCATTTGTGTGGGTTTTTAATCCTGCAATTGAAAATAAACCACTGAAGTGCTGCTTCTCAGTGATTCTTCTGTCCAAAAAAATTAATCTTAACCCTGAATGTTTTTTTTTTTTAAAGTAGTAACTCACGAGAAATAGAAAAGTTGCAAGTAACTTTAATAACCCAAGATATAAACGTGGTTGTGTCCAACTGCAAAACTGGAGCTGGAAAAGCCATAGGCTTGAAGATCTGTACTGTTACAGGAAAGCTGTCTGGGATAAACAGGGAATACACAAAAAGAATATCACTGCTGAGGGAATAATTTGCAGTCAGATGTCAGCTCCACTCCTCAAGGGGAAACAAAAAGCTACAAAAACACAGCATACAGCCAGTTTTTTATTCTTTGGGGTCACCTCAACCATTTTGCCTTAAACCTGCAAAGAACTGTAACACTGTTCAGTGTGTGATTCTGCAGAGCAATACTGAAGTGCCCCACACCATGGAACACCTCAGGAATACTGCATGTGTTATCTGCTGGCTAATAAATTAGTTGCTTCAGAGGCTTTCTACTGCCAAAGGCACTCATTTTTTTAACTCTTCTCTCCACAGCCCCATTTTCACAAAACCACCACACGTCCAGAAATGTTGGTATTTCAAGTTTGGGTGAAACTGGCCACAGGATTCAAAATTATTAAAGGAAATAGACACATAAACGAGGTGGTTCTACAGGCATCACTTCCAACCCCTAAAAAACTCACCTAATTGCAGTATCATGACTGTGTCCCTGAAGGCACGTGTCACTAACCCAAAATGTCTGTACAGGGGATAGCACAACACTCGTCTTCCAAAAGATACCAGGACATCATGGATGCAAGTGAAGCTCTGTGTACATCAGTGAAAAAATGTGAATTAGTCTTTGTGCTTGTTTGTTTTCCTTTAAGGAAAAAAGTCATAGCAGAATAGGAGGGAAAAAAAGTACATTTTTTATATATTATGCCTCTAAAAAGCTGTATTTGAATAGATATGGAAATCAACATGTTAAACAGAAACAAGACACTGCACATTTGGTTTGCATGGCAGGATGACAGAAGTCCTGTACATTTTAGTGGTTTTGGATTAAAAAAAGAACGTAGAGAACATCAGAATAAAACATCTACCTCAAGACTTTGCCATCCTTTAGATTAAAGCAATAAATTACATCTGTCCCACATTATTATATATATTAAGGAGAAGCTATAAAAAGCCTTTTAAAAATAAAGAAAAATTAAATCCACATGATATTAACCAAATACATGTGTACATATAAGATCTTTAGAAATGATACATGACTCTGCCTTCCATGAAAATTATAGATATTCAAGACAAGGATAAATATACCTGCCTGGGGAAAGCAAGAACAGTTCCTTGTTCTCCTTTATGAGTGAGGAAGACCTCTAATTTACTCAGGCCAGAGGCATTAAGGTGGTATTAAAGACTTTTTTAAAAGAGTGATTTTATTCCCAGCTCTCACTTTTCAAGACAAAATACTCCATTTATGAATTCAAATAAAAATACCTATTTCATCTTGAACCCTCAATTTATTAAAATTAATAAAAACACTTTGCTGACAGCCAGCACTTCTCTGCACTGTGACTACCTCAACCCATTTTTCATTTTAATGGATGACCAGCAAGCATTTAAATCATTTATGGTTTGTGATTTAATATTTAAAGGCTAAGGTGTGTGTACATGTCATGCCCAGCAAAATGGCAGCCATTCCAAACAAACCAGAGCTCAGGCAATTTTGTTTACAGAATGATGAAAACACCCACCCTACATGGTTTGTATAACAGAGATAGTTATTAACAGCTTGGTGCCAGGAGACTGAATTTTCTGAGTATGAAATATACTGTTGGCACAGGCTGCACCAAGAACTGCTATATCATAAGGACACGCAGAAAACCCCTTTACTATGTTAGGACATGGATCTGAAAAAGATAAATCAGGCATTGAGGCAATCAGTGCATTTTAACTGCACCCTTTTGTGACCTGCTACTGCAGAACTAATAATAAAAAGATCTAGAAAACCCATTGTCAGAATAAGTTATTAGTGAATGTAACATTCACCACCACTAGAAAGGTTCAAAGGATTAACCCAAAAGTCCTGTCAAATTTTAGTTTTGATCCTGCAAACTGAGATTTGGCTCAGTAAGTTCAGGAATGGGGCTGGGACAGTCCTTCCCATCTTGCTGCATCGTGACAATTAATGGATTACAGGCCATCCTTTCCACTTCCAGCTCTTTAGCAACTTCTTTACACAGGTCTGTGGACACTCAGTGAACAGTGTGAATGTGGGAAGAACAGAATTCAGTGTTTCCTCTAATCTGTGTTGGCTTCAAAGGGTGAGCAGCAACCAAACAAACAGGGATGTGGCACTTGGACATGGTTTAACAGGGACCAAGGGGGTGGTGCTGAGGCGATGGTTGGACCTGACGACCTTAAAAAGTCTTTTCCAACCTTTATGATTCTATAAATAAGGCTGAAAAGACAGGGGCAGGTAAAGCAACACATATCCACTAACATTCAATACTGAAAGAGTAAACTTTGCCCAAAAGCAACGTACAACACCCATAAAACCCCAAGTCTACAGCAAAACCACATAATACAAAACTTTAGCTTTGCCTCACCTCCAGCCAGCACAACGTTGCACTCAGTTTCCTGATGTTCCAAGACGATTCAACCTAATTTTAAGAGAAGACAGTAAAATAAGTGTTATCTAATCCCACACTCAAGGCTGCTGGCAAACTATTTAAGATAACATTCTGGCAGCAATTTAAGAACCTTTGTGAATAAGCAGCAGTAATTACATTACGTGCATTGAAACGGCCACAGGACAGCATTAAAAATTATATTGCAATGCAGATGTTGGTTTTCGTAGTGGGAATATTGAGCCCATGCACAAAGTCTTTGAAATACAACAGCAACGCACAGAAAAACACTATTTTAGTGGAATTCTGTTCCTTTGCACAACAGAAAGTTGAATCAACAAAAGCCAAGCTCAACTGCCTTGTTTCATGAAAACAGCTCAAGACTTTTGGCTTTGGGAGAGGGTCCCAAAGCCAGTAGTATATGTAAAATGTCATTATTCTTAAAATGTGACAGATTCACAGTATTTGTGTGCAAGTGTGGTCTAGTGGGATGATTAGGGGAAAAAGCCAGAAAGCCTTGATCTGTAATCCTGGCTCTAGTAAAGATTTGTGTGGCCTCAATGTCTTGGTTTTCCTATTAAACAGGAATAAAAGAAAAAAAAAATGAGGGGAAAAAGGACAAAACCCACAGTGTGTTTTCTGCATATCCCATACACTCACTGCAAACCAAATAAAGAATTGTACAATTGTGTTCCTGGCAGATTTGCAATTTTGTGCAGCACTAACACACAAAACAACAATCCCAGATTATTCTGCTGAATACAGAGGTCTGGACATTTCTGCTTCTCCTTCTACAATCCATGCCCTCCAAGCCAGTCTGATTAAGACAGAACACGATTTTGATTACATGTCCCAATATTTTGATTAAAAGCATTCAGAAAACACCTCACTGGTTAATACCAGCAGAGGAGATTCAAGGCTCAAAGCTGTACTTGGGAAGCAAGTCCATTTCCAAAAGGGCAAGTTATCCACATAACAGCATAGAACAAAAAAAGAACAATTATTTTGTTAAATTGCCATTTACATAAATCAAGACCCATCACAACAGAAATCAGAAACAAACAGAATTGTCTAGAATCTCCTTCAATTCCACATCTCTCCTACTAAAATGCTGCTGCAGAAGAACACAAGTATACTGAAATCCCATTAATCCCCACATGCATCCCAACAGCTCAATCCAGAGATACCAAGTCCTTAATTTTAAGTTAATCATATATTTTTAATGCTTGGAAGTAAGTTCACTTCAAAAAATAAGTTTCCTAAATGGCAGTACAGGGTCCAGCACTAGGTTCCTAACACATATTTTTATTTTTTTTAACTTACATTCTTGTCCCCTTCATTGACACAGATCTCATAGCAATATGCCAGGAGGATATCAATTAATCCAAGATATACATGATGACGGCTCCTTTTATCCAGAAGGTAAGATTTATTTGTGAACTTTCTCAGCTGCTCTCTCTCTTCCTCAGAGAAGACAACTATAAAAAGTAAAAGGATAATTGATTATGAATTTAAAGCTGGCACATTCATTTTAATAGGTGGTAATACCACTTGAACAGTCTCTTTAAAAAGGAGCATGTAACTAATCACAAGTCACTCATCACTCAAGCAAAAGCCTAAATCATTCTTACTTTCATTTTAACTTTTATTAAACTCTGATATATTCCTTTCAATGTCAAGCTCCAGCCCTGCAGTCTCCTGCATGTACACACTGATGATTTGGAACCTCTCAAAGTGCCTGGATCCACAATCAGAAGCTGAGTAAGACAAAGTTTAAGTCCACCTTGTGTGAGAGAAATAAAAGAAGACAGGATAAAAAGACAGATGTATTTTCTCACTGGAGAAAAGGGTAAGAACTAAAAGAACAGGGAAGGAAAAAAAAAAGTACAATTCTGTTTTCCAAGTCTCATCCATTTTGACTCATGACCTAGGCATGGTTTAGGATCTTTGTTGATGCCATCTGAGAACATTAGGAGGATTAGGAGGAACATTTTTAAATGTTTCTACTTTATGAACTTTTTTATGTTTCTATCAGCTTCATAACTATGAAATGCTTGATTTAAATTCCTATGGAAACTTGTTGATGAGCTAAACATTACTCTAGAGTCAAGTCAGTCTCCATTTATTTACAAGCTCCCACAAAAAGAAATTCCAGTTTTTGTATCATCTTGACAAAGCTAATCTCTTCCACTTGCTAAGATCTAGAAAAAAGTGACAATTTAGTAAGACTATGGCAGTTCTATCTCTGTTTTTCTGTCCATGCAAAGCAACTCTGTATTATACCTTATATCACTAATACAGGTGATGTATCAGTAAATTTCTTTGTAAATTGATGCTTCAGTATAAATGTGAACCCTATTTCCCTTTTAGGCAGAAAGCAAAGAAATTCCAAGTGAAGTTCACAAAACATGAGAGTAAAGTTTTCTTCCTCTAAAATGCAAACTCTGAAGCATCGTAACATCTACAACTGGACCATAAATACAGAAATTCCAAGTTTACTAAACAACAGCAAACAAGACACTGACTAGAGAATTCCCAAAGGTAAATGATACATGATGTTCATTAACTCACTGCAAAGTGCCAGGTGTTCCACATAAAATCTCTCTCTAGAGAAAATACTTTAATGTTACAAATAAATATCTATCTGTTCCTTAAAGTTTTTGAACAGTGAATTATCCAGGCCTGAAACTCATTATTCATCATCATCACGGTTAGGCTTCTCTAAAGAAGATTTGGGAAGGACTCTACCCACATTTGCTACAAAACTCATTATTAACACACCCAAATCACCACCTACTTTGTTTTCCCAGTTCAAAAAGCCAAGTACATGGAGTAAGATGAACAAGTGAAATGGTAATTGCACCTTCTGCTGTATTAAGCCTGTGCACTTCTGTACACTTGCATTACCAACATTTTAGTCAACAGCCTGTACAACAATTAATATTAATCTGATGCAAAGCAGAAGCTGCTGGTACTTATCAAGTACTAAATTTGCAAGTCTTCTGTAACTTTGACTTTACACCCTTCTAGCCACAGTGAAACTGTTAATATATGCAGGCCTAAAGGACTCAGACAAATTCACCTCACAAAGTTCCTGATAGATAGTCCTGCAGAGATTACCTTTACACTTTAATCATCTCTTTTACATACTTTAAACTGGCCATTCCTCACGTTAAAATAAAGATATTCCAAATTGCCCTTCAGAACCTGAGTGTCAATGAAGCACAGTTTAATCTCTGAGGGGAGGATGAGGTCTGACAGCCAGAGGGTGTTTTGTTACAGCCTTACTGGTATTTTGCTGCGATAACACCACTTAAATCACTGTAAGATCTGTATCTCCAGACCACTATGACACTTCCAGTTCTAAATGTGTTAGGGGCACTTAGATAAAATGTGCTATATCTGCACAGAGAGCTGACTCAGTGGTCGGATCAGGAAAGCACAGGTCAGGAAGGACCTCTGATAACCAGCTGTTTTCTGGTGAGAGCAGAGCCTTGGCTTAAGGTCCTGTCAAGCCAAGCCTTGAATCCCACAGCTCTCTCAAAGAAAAAGAACTGAGGAGAACTGATCCCTCCTTTTTTTTATGTTTTAAACTAAAATATTATTTTACCATATTGAGGTTTTTAAATGTGTACTTCTATCCCTGTAGGTTAAGGAACCAGCAACAGCAGATAAAGGAGGAGATTAGTCAGCAGAGAGAGGATTAGTCAGGAATAAAGTTAGTTATTGATATTAATCAGTAGCAAACAAGTCTCTTTTCAAGCCCTTCCTAAGCCATTAAGAGATAAAAGGCAGCACTACTCTGCCTAGAAAGATGCCCAAAGGCTTTGTGCAGGATCAGCATTTTCCCCAGTGCTGGATACTGCCTTGAAAATACTTGACAGTAACAAACAAGTGACTGAACTAATGAAGCTGATTTTTTATTGATTTGTCTCTTGTGCTTGAATTTGTTGTGAGGTTTATGAGAGGTTACTGAACCTTCCCACAGTGCTGACATCCTGATAACCTCTCTTTCCTGTGTGGACTCCACATTTAAAAACGTGGCACTGAATATTCAAGAAAAGCCCTTTCCCTTGTACACAGGGCCATTTTTGGAGAAGTTGCAGATGGGCCCATCTTTAGGACCCCCTAAAGCTCTGTCAGGGAGACTTGTGATCAGGAAAGCCTCAGTTTAACAGGAAGTGAACCAGAAGTTCTAAAAACACAAAGCTATCCTCCTGTGCACACCTATATTCCCTCTAAACTATGATCAGTCAAGGCTGCTTTGTTCATCCCTCCCCTTTCTTTGCCTTTCTTCCATTAAAATTTTAGCTCCTTCACTACTATATTTTCTTCCCTGCACTTCTTGAATCAACGTTCACAGCACATTTCCTCCACATCACTTCTGACCTTCTTCCTCCAGGCATTCTCCGTGGAATCACTGCACTTGGACAGTCTTTCCTGGATCTCACAATCTCCTTGTACTAATTTTTCCCATTATTCTTTAAGAAACACACAGTTCCTGCAAACCATATCAAAACCATACATCATTCTTTCTTCTTACTGTTCTTGCCTTTTAAAACCTCAGGTGCTTTACAGAGGAGACAGATCATTAAGGATTTTGCATGAATAAAAAGCAATCTTTCCTCACATGACAAATACCTGCTCTGCAGCAGAGCAGTGCCAGGAAGACAGACATGATGCAAAGGTGGCAGAGCAATTGCAGAAATCTGATAAAAAAGGAAAAATGATTCATCTTAAACTTATGAATCTACCAGTAATGGTATATATTTGAGCCAAGCTCTGCTGAAAGGTGGATCTTTAAAAGGAAATTGCTTCTCATTCTATAAAGAAATCAGAAAGAGAACGGTCACTGGTTACCATGAACAAAATAAGATATCCTTGGAGCATATAAATGTTAGATTGAATACATATGTCAGCCTGAGCCTTTGAAGATTATTGTGTTGCCTAAAGAGGAGTTTTTACAGTTGTGCAACTGGAAGTAGAATAAAAATGAACTTTTAACCAAGCTGAATGTGACTGTTAGAAAATACAAACCCTTTCATCTGGAATCTGTAGAAGCAGGAGACACTGAAGTAAACTTCAGCAGCAGCAAAAAGAAAGCTTTCCAAAAGTTTTATTCCCTCATGTGAAAGGCTGGGTAATTAGTTGGGCTTTATGGAATATTACTTGACTTGCATTAGACACTGTAAGTGTGAGCAAAATGGGCCAGAAGAGATGATACACAGTAAAATGTAAAAAAAAGGACCAAAGAAAGAAGAGACACTAAGGACAAAAAAAGAATAAATTAAAAAAAGGCAAAACACACACACCATGCACAGGAGCTGGAGAAAAAGGTCAAATAAAAATAGATTCAAGGTAAGGACAGAAGGGAGACAAAGACTTTAAATGTTAATGAGAAGAGATGATCCAAAAAGAAAAAAAAAAGAAAATCTGGTAATGAGACATTAGAAAAACCTGATGATGTAAAAACAGGGAGAAAATAACCAGGGATGAATATAAGAGCAGTAATCAACCAAAGAAAATCTTCAGTTAATTGTAATGCCATGCAAAAAATAAGAAATGCCATCTCTATTCTAATTACTCCTTGCAGCCAAAGACGAAGACAAACGTAATGAAGTTTTTAGTTCCAAGAAAACACTGAAGAGAACAACTAAAAGGACATCGATATAAGTAAGGAGAAAGAAGAAACGACAACTTATTCCATTCATTCAGTGTTTCTGAATAAGAAAATAAACATTTTCTAACAGCTTTGGAGCAGCAAATGTTTAAATCAAGAACAAAACCTTCCTTCAAACAGGACAGACAAAAGTTTCTGCAAGCTGGCCAGGGCAGCAGACCTGCCATGAGCTGGACATGTTTTAAACATCTCAATATTTAAAGTCTCTTTACAGGTTGTATGCTTGGAAGTCCTCATCGTGGAAGATGGTGGAAATTACCTTATTTTAGATGCTTTCCTTAACAGAAGACATGAATTTGGAACTCAGGAGGAGTAAGAAATCTGGGTACTTTCATTTTATGCTTCTTCTCCATAAGCAATAAAAAAACCCTCTGCATCAAGGTTTCAATCCATTTTTCTTTATGCCCTTAAACAAGTTCAAAAGTAAACAGGCGACCTTTATGTCTGATTTTTGTAGGAAAAAAGGTTTGACCTCACACCTTCCTGTATCAAAGAATCACCACACATCACACAACACCTTGGAACAATCTGCAACATGGTTTGTGCCCTTAGAGCTTTTTACAGCTAAGCACTTGTGTGCAAAGGCTCCTCACTAGGAGCACACTCCAGTGCAGTGAAAGCCTCCTTATCCTTCTCCCTGTACAGCACACCCTGGCTTAATGCAGGCAGACTTCTCAGTTTTAGTGGGAATAACATGGGATTTCTCAAGCAGTAAAGAAGGTCCTTCACTTAACACAGTCCCTGTTCCTTTTATGTGCCTGTTCTGTCACCTCCACTCCCCAGGCAGGATGGAACACACAGTCAGGCAGATGTGTAGTCAAACTGCACCCAGCTTGTAAGGATTCCTTGGATCTGTAACTCAGAGTAGCTGGACCATCCTTTGACTAGATGAAGCAACATAAACCCACAGGGAACTCATCCTGCTGATGATCAGATTCCAGGGGGAACAGCCTGGACCCACCTCCGCCCTTTTGTATTTCCATTCATAGACCTTCCAGTGGAACCTGCACTCCCTCTCATGGTGGTTTCCCTCACCACAACTCACTCAGGTTTAAGAGCCTCCACTGGTCTCAGTCACTTGCCATTCAAACAGTACAAATGTTACCAAAACTGAGCTCTTTCAAAGGGAAAGGGTGGGTTGGTGTCATTAACATCATCCAAACACCACATCACTTCTTTTGTTACTTAAATTGCCTCAAGATCCACAAAACTACACGATCCTCTTCACTCAACCCTATCTGAGCCAGACCAAATTTTTTTTAATCATTCTTAAAACAAATGGTTTAGAGAAAAATGCCCTTTACGTAGCTCCATTTTCTGCGTAATTTTCATTAGCAGGCTTGCCAAGCTCTCAAGTAGTTTCTGTTGTTGCTGCCCCTAAAATCCAGCAACACACTGAAGAAAAACATACCCATCTCAATTCAAAGGAAAAATATTCTTCCTCAATAAAATCATCCAGCAGCTCTTCATTTTAATGATATTCCTTAACACAGGCAAACAGTAAGAGTGTTTCATTTACTAAGGAGTGAATGGATAAAAACAAACAAAAGAACCCCTCATTATTCTGTTTTGAAGCTTCTTTGTACCTTTGTCCAATGCTCTTTAAATCAAATATTTATGATGGATATAATTAACAATTTCTTGCTTCAGAGGCTGAAAAGAGACCAGGAATGAAGATCAGATTACATTCACAGTAAAATGCACAACATTTACCCAAATTCCATTGTTCTTGTCCTGTAGCAAATGTGAAAGTGCAGGTATTATTAGTGCACTAAGAACCTCTGCTGAAGGGATTATCATTATCTACTTTCAATATCAGATTTTCATACTACAAAGGAAATGAGCAAAGGACAATAGAAGAATATGCATAATAGTAACTTGCAGTGCTCTCTGCAATCACTGTGTGCAGGGAGGTGACCTCGGTTATCTGTTAACAGTGCTCTTACAAGGCCATCTACTAACCCTAAAAACATCCCTTTAGGTTTCTAAAAAGACACAATTTTCCTTCAAAAAAAGGCTGAGACCCAGAAAAATAATAGTAAAGTAATAAATTTCCTTTAAGAACAATAACCTAGAACATAACATGGCATCACAGCAATTATCACTCAAGCAACAGATGTGTGTACATATATAGATATATAGATATAAGCATGTTCTCACCGAATGTATGAGTGTCATGTTCCTGATGACTTTCCCTCTGCAAGGCTGTCATCTTTTTATGTGCATCAACCCACCAGGGTTTGTACTTTAAAACATGCTGAATAGCTTCATCTTCAAAAAAATCAGCTCTAGGGAAAAGAAGAAGAAAAGTCATATGCTATTTATTTCAGTTCATAGTGCATGTGGGTATATATTAATGCACACATAAAATACACCTCACTCGGCTCTGGGCTATTTTCCACACACTAGAGATATGTTCTTTGACTTAAAAGCAGAAAATAATCATTATTAAAAGCATAAACAACATTCTCTTATCTTACAGTAGCCCTTCCTTACTTCTTCCACCTTCCCAGAATCCCAGGATATTGATGAGCTTGCAGCATGACACAAAGGTGAACAAACATGATTTGTTCTGGATGTATTAAAAGGAAAATATTCCAAAGAGAAGGCTCCTCAGACAAATCACTTGATTTTACTGGGAAGCTCTCCCACTCAAGAACTAGGTGTTCTGTGGGGAGGAAGGGTGTGCAGCTGAAGGGTAAACACAAAGTAGGGATGGACTTTTAGGTAAACAAGGACACGAAGCAGGAAAGTTGAAAACAAAGAGTTGTACATGAATTCTGGAAGAGAGATTACATCCATCTCAGCACAAAGCCACTGTGGTAAAAACCTCAGTGCAGTAATTCTGGGAGGATTTATACTAAAGGACTCAAGTTCTAAGCCTCCTTTTACCATATGAGCTTTTTCTTCGAGCCAAACAATGGTATAAACACAGAGAACTGAAAAAAACTGCAGGAAATTTCTTAAAACCTTCTTAATCACCACACAAAACCTGCCCAGTCTACTGAACACAGAATGTAATTTGCTCCACTCTCACACTGACAGATTTTTTTGTTGCCTTCCTTCAATGTCATTATAAAGTCACTCAGAGATATCAGTCAGTGTACACTTTGCTCAAAGGCACCAGAACACTTGTTTGCCACCATTTCTCCCAGAGCTTCTGCTCTTAATCAGGGTACTTGGGAAAACAATTTTTCTTGAAGAAAGGCTGGGATCATCTGTTCTGAAGCAACCAAAACACAGCCATTAAACTAAATGGTGTAACTCATCTACCAGGCCAGAACACAGAGTCTAAAGTGGAAACTTAGAATTACTGTAATTTGCATCCCATTATAGGTTAGGAACTACTTCAGTTCTAGCAAAATGTACTTCCAAGTGATATTTCCAGAAAGCTGTTCTATTTTCTGTGTGCTACTGAAAGACATGAGGCTGCCTCTGAAACACCCAACTGGGGGAAAATTCCAGGTTTGCAAAGATACCTTCTGAAAAAACTCAGAGTGGGTAAAGCCTTCCTGACCCCCACAAAACACACCAGAGGACTAATTCTCCCTACTGGGGGCTAAACTCTTTTCCCACCAAACCCATCTTGCAGAAATCAATGTATATTAATAGATCTCATGGCTCCAACTTATTTTATTTATAGCTTCTAAATCTAACTTGATCTGAAAAAAACCAACCTGAAAAGAACACGAAGAATCACTTCCATGTTCATTACACGGAATGAAGCACAAAAGAAACAAAGTAGCACAAAAGAAACACAAAGTTTTGATTTGGAACTTTTCCTCATTCTGCTTTAAAACAGCTTTCATGTGAAAGTAAAAAACAAAGTGGCCAAAACAAAATATTCCTAAGTTCCAAACTGAAATTACCTCCTCATAGACCAGGATGGTTCATTAATCCTTGTTTCACAAGAGGAAAACAAAGTTCTGACATTTACAACCCAAAATGCTGGCAGGGATTGGCTGCTCAGCTGCTGAAGAGGTGAACTATGAAACAATGTTCTGCAAGAGTTCTCAGCAGCCCCACTTGAACACGGACTTAAGCAGTAATTAAACAGTTGAGTAACCCCAAAACAGATGGGCAATGCCTTGTGTGTCACACTAAGAAAACCCTCCAGGGCCTGCCCTGATGAGACAAAGAAGGAGACAAATGAAAAGTGAAATTGTTCTTTCCAGACGCGATCTTTAAACCAAATAATTTATGAAAAGGAAAAGTGAATGTATTTCAGCTGAGGTACCTCTCCTTGAGCAGATGAAGTCAATCAATACTCACAGGTAATGATCAGGCTCAAACTTGGCAGCCTCAGCTTCCAGGCGTCTCCTCCTTCGTTCATCTGCAGGAGTCTGGTCTGGATCCTTGATGTCAATCACATCACTGAGCTCATCCTGCAAAGGGAGCCAAAGTTATAGGACCAAGCCACACGAATGACATGCAAGACTGATTTAGTAATAATTTAGGAAGGGATCAGTATTACACTGAAACCCCCAGATCTTCAACCTCCCTTTCCAATCCTCCAAATTCTGCCTTCGCTGTGCAAATGAAACATCAAAATTCCAAGGAAATGCAATTATTTGAAGCCTCTTAGAATTCATGATGTTATCAAGTCTATTCAGGACATTTTATCATAAGGCAGGGAGGTTATTTTGCATTATTGTAAAAGTTGAAATATTTAACAAAAGCACACAACCACAACGAAGACAAGATAAAAATCACAGATACTGTTCTTGTGACTTTGGAGATTACTCTCACTCTCTGAAGTGGCTGTACATGAATTCATAGGCAATTGCAGTGCCCTTTTAAACATCATTAAGTAGTGGTACTTCAATGCTGATGGGAAATGTATTTCTTCACAAGTAAACCAGTATATATATTCTAACAGAACGTAAATACTTTCTCCATAAATAGCAATCCTTCTGCTCCAAAACCTGAAAATACTACAATTCATGCAATAATTAGAGTTACATAATTAAGTTGCTTTAAACAGCTACAACTCAGTTGCTTAGAGCAAGAACACTACAAAAAATCATCATCTATTTTAATAACAGTGCTGTGGACTACAAGTATTGTACTACTCAGCATGCTACAGGTTTTAGATTAGTTTCAATCAATTCATGGCTAAAAGAAACTGCTGAAGGCACAGGAGCAGAGTAACAGCATTTGAAGTCTCCTATCCTACCAATCAACACACAAAAGCAAATTTAGATGCCTCAGCATAATGCTAGTGAACCCCAGACACCAGGTGGACAGACAGCTTGAAGAGTCCACTCTTCCAAAGTTGCCTTGTGAGCCAGAGAGCCTGCACAGCCTGTTAAACAGAACTTTTATGACAGGAAAAGACAAAAATGCACCTACCTGCAGCCTCTGGAACACCCCTGACCGCAAATTCCCAAATCCATAAGGGTGCTGCAGTGGTGGAGTGCTTTCTGAACTTTCTTCATAAGGGGTCTGTTCTATTTCCCAGTCAAATTCTTCTTCTTCCTCCTCCTCCTCAGACAGCTCAGCAGAGGCAGCTGCATATATTGCATGGTCAGAGAAAGAAAATCAGTGCACAAAATATATATATATATGATTTCCTAGAAAGGCAAACACTGGCAGCACAAAAAGCCTTTCTCATTTGACTACATCTTTTAAGAAATCTTACACAACACTGGGAGGGTCATACAGGTCAGTGACCCATAGGTCCTGCTTCCAACTCTCCCACTTTCAAAACTGAAGACCAGGAATGCTAAATTTTTTATGTGTACTCCCTCAAAGACTGAAATACCTGTTCCACTGATTTCAACAAGATCAGAATTTGATGTTAAGAGGACCCTGACAGAAGCGATGTTATCAATAATTTAAGAAAGGTACTAAAAGTTTAAACAGAGGCAGTCAAACATTTTTGTCTGTTAAATACTGATGTTAAGCAAGATCTCCATCAGAACCTGGGGTTTTAATCAGCCTCTCATATGAGCTAAAAGTCCAGTTGTGGTAGTTTGTAGAAAGCAGAAGACTCCAATGTGTGTGTGCTCTACAGCCACTAGAGGGGTACAAAGATCTACAGAGAATTAGCATATTTTAAAGCGCATTTTGGAAAAATTTTAACATAACTAAACCTATAAAGCTGACATGTATATTGTCTACAACATACTTATTTCTACATTTATTCATACTTTGATTTATTCGTGCCCTTCTCATACCTAGGACTAGCCAGTAATAAATACTGTATTTTTCCACATATATCACTTCAGATCTAAAACTGTGTCATTATGTACATGTATCATCAGTATAAACACGATTTTTCTTGTCATACCTATCTCTTCTACCAAAGGCTTTGCTGATCTTGATTTCTTTGGTGCTAAAAGAGATGTCAGCATGTCCAGGCCCTCAAAATATTGGCCAGGAACCTCCTTGGGTAACCGAATTGTAAAAGTTCCTTAAAAGAAAGTCAGAACATAGTTAGTGCATTAAAATATCCAAGACAAACAAAAATGTGCATTTTTCCCTCTCATCAAAAAGGCTCAGAGGAAGTGGGACACATACTGGTAGCATTTCATTATGCATCAATCTCTGTGCATGTTTTTAACCTTATTTCACAAAATTCAAAGATTTTAATGATAAAACATCAAAGAGAATATTTAACCAGTTGTGGTCTCCTGACTCACATTCTATAAACACAAACCAACAGAAGAATACAAGCTCTGTTTTATTTTTAATCCTTCCTCCAAACAAGCCACAGAAGATCATAAGAAACTCCTTCAGCAATCTGATTGTCTTAAGTCAAGCATGTAATAAACACTCTGCAAGCAACAAATTTATAGGCTTTATTGCTTTTTTCTTTTAAAGTATAAATTACTGGAGTTAGCAGCATTTTTAATGACATTTATACTAATAACATGAACCAATACCTTCGTCTGTATTATAGGATGCTTTTTCTCTGCCATCTTCTACAACTCTCCCAGGAAGCGTCAATCTGTGGGCAAAAAATGAGATGCAGAATTAGTCAGGCTTTCAGTGAGGCAACTTAACATCTCAGCCTATAAAAATGTAAGGCACATTCCAAAAGCAGCACAAAGGATTAGACTACGTGACTCTTTTTGATAGTAATGGAAGCCATGCAGTTAAATCCCCATGGATTCATCTCAGGAAAAGACACACTTGTTCTACAAAACTACAGCCAGAGAACTGTCTGGCCATCTTACAATTAAAAATATATTGTAAGTTAAATTTAGAAAAGTTTCTTTCAACTCTCTTTAATGTGATTTAATGCCTAAGAACAAAGAGGCCAGATCCAAAATAACAGATCTTTGCATGAAGTGGGCTGTCTGCAGCCAACCTTGTAAAAGCTGCAGATGAGGAATGTTCTGGAGGGACCAAAATTAAGTTCAATCTCTACTGTGAAGTTAAAATTTTTAAAAGTTTTTCCACTACTTGCCTGAGAAAGTATGGTTTAGCATAAAATTTAAAGTCTTCCCCTTCAAAATACACATCAAACTCTGAAGCTCTGGCATAAGGTACTCTGATTATTATTGTGAGAAAATCTGGATCCTGGGTCAGTTCAAAAGCTGGAGTTATCATGATGGATCCAGCAGGAAAAGCAATGACTGTGTGGCCCTATTAAAATAAGAAAAAGATTGTTGTAGTTTCCAGTTGATGAGAGCAAATTGTATCTCTTCAGAACTTGTTAAGAAGAACATTTCAGATTCTCACAAAATGATCTTCCACGGGCTCAAGAAGAAAACACTCATGACAACAACATCAAAGAGTTATCCAGAATGTGAAGGTACCACCTCAGTACCTTAATGAAACACCTGAATGTTAATATATGCAAACAGCAAAGCACCTGTTTTATTCCACATAATAAACCACACTGAATTAGGTCCTAAAACTTTTCAACTTTTTGTAACTGTTATTTATAATTTCACATATAGACCTTTACAGTTCTTTAGTGAACTGATCACAAACCACTATTAGAAAACACTGAAAAACAGTAATACTTGCAAAAAAAAATAGAGCTGTATTTTATAGTTCACACCCACATTAGGCAGAAAACCAGCAACAGATGCAAGGTCAGTTTAGAGGAACATCCATCAGAACCATGTGTCTGCACACTAGCACATGGACATATTTAGCATGAGAGAAGGAATTTACATAGTACTATTCACCCAATATACAACTTGTCTGACTCTTCAATAGCTTCTAAATATGAGATAATTCATCAGGTTTAATTTAGAATCCAGTTGTGGACTGGAGTTTTGTTTGTTTGGGGAGGGCACGTTTACAAATGGCCACACAGTTTTGAAAACTAACTTTTTAAAACAAAAATATTTTAGCCAAAAAGCGCAGAATAGAACTAAACTGTGAAAGTGAGTGAAAAGTAGCACTTTCCCAGATAGATGTTTGTTAAATATATCCCCTTTGTGACAATTTCACGAACAGACAGCCATCATTAACCATTAACAGGGCTAAATTAACAGATTACCTTTTTCTTCGTATGGGTAATCTACCTCATTTGGCACACGTGAAAAAAATTAAACTCCCCATTGCACTGTACTACTTAATTCAAGGGCAACATTCCCACTCTTTCCAGGCTGAAAAGCTGCCAGGTGTTTATATAAAGTTGTGCCTGGATAGGGAACACCTGCAAACTAAAAAGTACAGCGCTATGGGCTTTCTTCTTGTCTACTTCAACACAGAAAGTTGGGAGACAAAAATCCAGCCGCTCCTTTAGACCCCTCAGGGGGTGTTAGTCCGCAAGTTTTATTTCCTTAAATCAGAGTTTCATCTATTAAGAGCAATCCCAAAGCCAGGCCCGGCCGTCTCTGCGCTGCTGCTGCACTTGGAGCATCCCCGACCCACATTAACGACCCCAAACCCCTCCGGAGGCTGCCACACAAACCCCCCGGGATCTCACGGCTGAGGAACGGCGACAACACGCCGCTCCAGCCGCAGGTATCCCGAATAATCCCGCTTCCCAGCCCTTCCCGTGCAAACACCGCCGCGCTCCAGGGAAAGGCGCAGGGAGCAGGACGGGGGTGGCGGCCGGTAAAACACAACCTCCCGCCGCTGGCTCACGCCGGGCCGAGGGCCCACCTGCGCCCGGGGCCACCCTCCCGAGCTCTGCAGAGGGACAGAGCCTTCCGAGAAGGCGGCTCCCAGCGGGAAGAGCCCCGGGATGAGGGGATGAAGAAGGGATGATGAGCCCCATGTGAGCCCCATCCGCGCCCGCCCGCGCCGCCACTCACCGCCCGCGCCGCTTCCCGCGCCCGCCCGCACCGGGGGCGGGGCCGCGCAGGCGCAGAGGGGGCGCGCCCCGCCTCCCTCATGGCGGCCCCTGCGCCCGCCCTCAGGGAGCGCCGTGCCCGGCCAGCCTGGGCACAGCCGGCTCCTTGTCTGTACCCCTGCTGGTTTTCGATAAAAACACGGGAATTCGGGATCGTCTTTGAATTCGAGTCGCTCTTGAAAATCTGATGGAGTTGCGCGATGTTTCCCAGAGTTGCTAGAAACGAAATGGTTAACAGCGTAGACATGGACAGTGTGACTGTGTAAAACCTAAGTTGTTTAGGCTAAAAATCAGAATCCGCCCCCTTGAGAAATGGGAAGGATGGATTTTTACCTGCAGTTGCATAAAATATATTGCACAAGCTCAGCGTGTTTTATTTCAGCTGCTTTTCATAAGTGTGGAAACCGAACAGTTTTTAGCGCATCGGAGAGTTGGTTTGTTCTTTCCTATGAAAACAGTGGTTACTTCAGGACTAATTCATGTGAGCAAATGTCCTGTTGTTTCTGTTGTGTTCACACTTTGCTGCAGGGAAGGTAGATTAGTAAACTGAGGATTGACCCCATGAGCACTGTCAGGATAGGAATTCCCAATTCCATCTCTTCTAAGCCATTGGATAAATGCAGAACAACATTGACAGTGTGAAAAGAGGCAGATCCTGATGAATTACAATACAGCATTAAGGAGAAAAATGCAACAAGAACCTCAAAAAATTGCCAAAAGCAAAAAAAGTTGATTTAAAGGCCGTAATTTATTAAATACAGGACCTAATGTAGAATTAGTCTGATTTTCCTGCCATTAGACCATGAGAGGTATTCTGGTTCCAGGTAATTCTTTACATCTTTAATACTGCTGACTCTCTTCCTCTTGCTGCCCCCTCTGAAATGCATTCCAACATTTTTTCCTGGAGGGAGAAAGCAGAATTATGTAACTTCTGCTAATAAATTTTTCTTTAAAAAAAAAAAGTAGACAAACAATCCCCCAGGCTGGAAATCCACTGAATATGACATCTCTTCATGGGAAAACTTCTTCGTTCTTGTGCAGAACTGAACCAGCAGTTTAAATACTGCACAAAAATCAAATGATTTGCTTCAAAATAGATCATTCTCCCCCCTGATCTAAAACTGATGTATAGTTTTAATATTCTGCCTAAACTTCCTTGTGTCCCACTTTTTCTCCTGCAGAAATTGAAGATGCATATAAATGCATTCTCTGTTATAATAAGAAATTAATGACATCTAATTTCAGATGCTGATTTGACTTGGACCAAGGCCTTGATCATGTCCTTAGAAACATTTGATGCATTTCCAGAGAAATTCTGCACTAATTAACTTTTGGACTTTACCAATGTAATCTATAATAAGAATATTGCACAGGAAGCTGGATTATGAACCAGTAGGCACCGTCTTCTCTGCATAAATTCAAATTTGCAGGACAAGTCCATAAAAGATAAGAAGTTTCATTAGAGAGTTTATTCTTGTCCAACTGACACTTTCCAATACTGCCTCACTATTATTTTTTTAGAGTCTAAGAACCCCCAGCTCTTTTTTTCTGCTAATAGTTGCCTTGTGAAAGAACTATTTATATGCTGATTTCAGTGAAGAAGCTGGTGCCTCAGCCATTCTGCCTTTCCATCCAAGTAAAGTATGAAGGAGCATCCCTAAGGAATTGCTTTCTTTTGTAAAAAACAGACTGAATTTTTTAGAACTGTAATAAAAAGTTTTATTTGGAAATGTACAAAGACCACTTTACACCTCTTGGTGCATCTCTCTGATGAAGAAGTTAATTTGGCTGCTATATGTTTAATGCAGCACTGAAGAATGAAAAAACATTATCTGCAGTGTTTTGGGCAAGTAATTAGGAAAACTTGCTGTTCCTTTGAAAAATAGAAACATGAAGCTTTGCAGTTTATGAGCACATTTGACTCTATGTGGCTAATAATAACAAGTAAATCTGGCATAATCTCACGGATATGATACATAATGTATTCTAGATATATAATTGGCACAAATGGTAATCAGATACAGAGTATGCATTTAGCTTAACAAGTAAAATGAAGAATAAAATGGTTTCTCTATGTAGGAAACAAATGAAAATAAATTAGACATAGGTTTCAATCAGAAACACATTTCTCTGTGAAATACACTATAAAATACAATACAACACATAGCTATTTCCATTGTCTAAATTATCAGTGTAATCATTTTTGTAAACAACTAGAAGTAGTTCTGCAGTTGTTAGACTTACACTTAGCAAAAATTTGGTATAAATTAACAATGTAAACAATAATTGAGGGCTTTTTGTGTGATGGAAATAGCAGATACCATTGCACACTTGAGCAAAATTCATATTATTCTTCCTTTTAACTTTGAAAACAAGTGGAAAACAAATATTTTGACTTCTTTTGTCTAAGTGGCCTGAAGCATTCCTCCAAATCTAATGCATTTTAATCTGAATTTCCTTTTCCCATAGATTTGATTTTCCAGGAGTTTATAATCCTTAACTGTTTCACTTACAGAAGTACTGTGGCCACAATATCAGGATATCTCCATAGCTTTATTTTTGCTCTTTCCTCTTGCAGTTTCCATTATCCAAAGGTAATGAAGCTTCTCATTCTGTTTCTTCAGAGAAGGATCCTGGATCACAAAGACCTTCTGTGCTGTCTCAGATAAGCATAAGAACCTGGGTCTCTGGAGACAGGGTGATGGTCTTCATAAATCCAGAATCAAACTTGAAAATCTTTACAAGGATAAAATGATAACAGCCAGGGGCGTAGGTTTGTAATGTGTCTCTTGGTGTTACATTTTGTAGCATTACCTGCCAGACACATCTCCAATGGCCTTTGAAGTAGGTGTGTGTGAAGTTTGAGTGTGAGAGATCAAGTTGGAGATTGGCTTCTTAGTGATGGAAGGACATAAACTGTAATTCCAGTAAAATAGACCCAAATGAACCTCTGTGAGAGCCTGAGCTGCCACTGATTGTGGGAGAGTTCTTGGGAGCAGCCCAGAGGCACATCGGGTATGCCATGGATTTGGGCCAAATGTGGGGGGTTTTCGTGCTGAAGCAACTTTCAGGTTCTTTAACAGCTCTCCAGGGATCTGCTGTGGCTGTTATGTTAAAAGCCCTTGGAGTTGTTCAACTTTTACTCCAGGAGCAGCACGTAAACACCTTTGTTTGCTAGTCTGTGTTTTTAGCTCAGATGTAGGACAGTGAATTTTTGAAATGTGTTGCTCCCTAGATAGTATGTGGTATGATTTTCTTTCTGTGACTGATCTGCAGAGGGTGCAGGTCTGTTACATCCCTGTTCCTGGGAACCTGGCTCTTTTCACCCAGTCATTTACCCTTGCATTGAGTTGCCTGACTCTTTGGCTGCTGCAGAGAGTGAGTCTTCTTCTACAACCTGAGAAAGAGTAGCCCAAAACATATAAAATTACTGGGAGGGCTTAATTTTTTAGATTTTTAATTTTTTAAGATTTTCTCAAAATATAACTATGCTTTAAATCAGTGCTTTACAGAGCTACACTGAAAAAAACTACATTACAACACAGGGCTTTGAATGATTAACCTCTTAATATATTTGATTATGCCATGATGTGTCTGCAATACAAGACACACTGAACACACTTGGTATTAATAAATTTGTTCAAGTCTAAAATATGTGTCTCCCTATTTTTTTATTGTTATAGATCCAAGCCATCACTCTGACTGATCACAGCTACTGTCACATATCAAGGCTGCACATTGTGGCCAGTCTGTTGCTTTACTGCCAAAATTGAACATCAGAGAGTGCAGCAGATTCAGCAACATTGATTTAAGGGTGCACTGTAATTCTGTTCCAGCCCAGCCATGGAACTGATTTTGGGTGAGCATGCAGCTGGCAGCATGGAAAAGTTGATATTTGCACATCTTAATTTGGAAAAAAAATGGTGCAAGCAGGCAGGTGAGTGGTGGCACTACAGTAGGTCATGGAAACAAGGGGAAAGTATCTAAAAATCCCATAGAATGTTTTCCAGATTTCTAATGTTTACCTTGTATTTGTAGGCAGACATTGCTCACACATCTCCTAGAGAAGAAAAGAGATTGTGTTGATAGTATAACATCACACATTTGAACAGCTTGAGGATTTCAGGGGGTTGCTACTGGTACTCATTTTTTTTACTAAGTATGAAGTTTGGTAGGGTTCTATTATAGTACATATATTCTCAGGAAAGAGCATATGTTTATGCCTTGTGGTTTTTCTGTAGTTTCTCATTTAGTATTGCTATTTTCCCTTAGGATGAAGTAATTTATATTTTTATATCTGGCCAGAAACCGAGTTGGATGAAATTCTGAAACAGTAGTTGTTCATTGCATTTGCAATAATACTAAGGTAAAGTACATTTTGGGAAACCACTGGTGAAGGCATGTGGTGACAGCAGTGTAAAATGGACAGGCTGCAGAGTTTCTCTGCCAAGTGAATGCCATTTATGTAGTGAAGGCCAAGCACAGCCAAGTTCACTTCCAGTGCTGACTCTGTGAGGGACTTGTGAGGCTCCACTTTCCCTTCTCTCCCATTCCAATGCTGGCATCTCCGTTCCGTGCACAGTTTATACTCCAGCTCCATGGGGCAACAAGAATCCTTGCATTTATGTCGTTCTTTTCATTTAAAGGTCATAAATCAGATTATGAACCCAAGTAGGATTTATTTCCATGAAATTCACAGTGTGCTAATCTCTGATGATGTTGCACAGAAGACCAGCTAAGGTGGGTCACACGGGGACAAGTCCAAAGCTGCACAGAAGGGAGTGAATGTTTTGTTCCTTCGCTGTCCTACAAGTATTGCAGTTTATTGCCGTACAACCTGCCTTCGTAGCAGGTGGGATGAGAACAGCAGTATGAAGGTGATAAACTGGGGCTGCAAGGCGGAGGGAAGCTCAGCACCAGTTTGGCTGTTCGCACAGACAGAGGAAAGGCGCTTCAGAGCCCAGTTCCCTCTCTCCCTTTCCCTCCTGCTCACCTTGCTGTGCAGACTGACCCCTTCCATCACCGCGCACCTGCACAGGCGTGAAATCAGAGGTACCTCGGAGTAACAGCGGGGCGCGGAGCCCTGCCTGGCGTTCCTTGCTGGAGTTATTAGTCAATAGTAACCTTTATTGCTCTTGTTGCTGGTAAGTGACGAGACTTCCCCGGGCGTGCGGCGGCTACTCCAGACAGTACGGTAGGACATTACGGTAGCGGCCCCGCCCCGCCGGGCCGGGCTGGGCGGCCACGTCCCCGCTCGGGCCGGGGCTGGGGCGGCGGGACCGGCGCGGGGACCCGGCCATGCGGCCGCGCTGACCGGCCATGCGGCGGCCCTGCAAGGTGGCGGCGGCCCTGCTGTGCCTCGCCGTGCTGCTGCTGCTGTATCTGCTGGCGGGCAGCGCGGCCCCGCCGCCCGCGCCCTCCGCGCCCGCCCGCCGCCCGCCGCGCCTCGGCCGGAGCCCCCCGCGCCGGAGCGGCGGCACCGCCGGCCACAGGTAACGGGGGCGGCCCCGTCCCCCCGGCCCCTGCCCGCGAAACCCCCCCCTGTGCCGGCCGTGCCCAGCCCCACGCGTGACCCGCGGGTCCCCCCCGGCCGGTCCCTTCTCGCTGCCGCCGGTGCTTCCAGCGCTTCCCTCTCCCAGGTGTTTTCCCGTCGCCTCCGCGGGTGACCGGTGATGGGAGACCCTTGTGCAAACTGCGCCGGTTTGGAAGTATAAACTTTTCCCTGCGTAGTTTCCTCTCGCAGCGCAGTTGCCAGAGATGCCAGGAAGGTGCGTGGAGGGTTTCGCTCCGCCGCCGGTCCCTCGGTCCGAGCAGCGGGTCCCCTCCTCTGCAAGGCTGTGCGAGCACAGCTGCTGAAATAGCTGCTTTTCCATTAGTTTTGGCCTCGTTTCGAAGGCTGACGGGGGCAATGAGGTACTCGCTGGCTGGAATGAGGAGCTGCTGTCACCTCGGGAGCTTCACTTAGCGGATTTCTCATTAGGGAAGGTGTCTGGTTGTTGCTGTGTGATACCACTGGGTTCCAAACTGCGGAGGCACCGGTGCATTTTGAGCTCTCGAGTTTTTTGTTTTGAATGCTTTTTCTATGTAAATTCATTATGCATAACTTTTAAAAAGTTTGCAGTCCTGGTGTGTTGTATTTCCTCTCCCAGCACCTTACAGGCAGAGTATTTAAAAAACCCCAATTAGTTCAGAAAGAGACCCTGGCAGCTTTCGGTGGGTGGAGGACTGTTTTCCCCTTTGCATTCCAATTATATTATGGTCAGTGTGACCTCATATATCTAATTAACTTGGTATGTCTTTGTGTCTTTGATTCATGATTTCACAGAGATGTTCTGAATGAAAGACTATTCCTGTTTTTTGAGCTCTTACTCCTTAACTTATTAAGGCAGTTGGTTTCTCACCAGCATTGTTACCCCACTGAATGCAGGAGATGTTTACTGGGGCTGAGAATGGGTCACGGGCAGAATCCAAATGCCTGTATTAAAGCAGGATTATTTCCACTAGCAACTGTACCTCCTGAAGTCATTTTTCTTTAAGGCATATCTCTGCGATTATCATGGAAATCAAGAAGAACACTGAAGGAGAGAGCCCTGAAAGTATGGAACTGCCAGAGAGTGTAAACAACTGTTCCATTTCAATGAGCTTCTCAGTAGCATCTTCATGTTTCAAACTTTGACATTATCTAACTTTTCGATTATTTATTGACTTTGCAAGTACTTTTTACAAAGTCTGCAACACAGCAACAAACAACAAAAGAGGAATTCTGTATTCAAACCATGCCTCTTCTTTAAAATTTTGTTTGCTTATGGGGTTTGATTGTTGTTTTTTCCCTCATGATCCTGCACCATTGGCCCCAGCAGTTTGTACAACTGAGAAGCACAGTTCTGTGGGTCCAGTCCTGCCCCTTGCTGAAGGATGCTGTGTTGATTTAATTTATTTGGGTGAGAGTCTCCATAAAAGGAATTTTTGTGGGGCAGGTGTGACATAACCTGGTCCAAGTGGAGGTGGTGCCTGAATTGTTGGGAAGGCAAGGGGTGGTAGGATCTGCTGAGCTTAAAGATCCTGATCCAGGCGAGACTGAAAGGAGTGTGAGGGGCTTGAACTTGGAGCATAAGGGACAGGCCAAGATCCTGTGATGTGATCACAGTGTATGTGCTTATATGAGACTGCATAATCAATTCACAGAGCCTTAGTGGAGTTTTGTCTGTGTGAATGTAAAAAGTTGTTTCAATTCAGTTTTGCCAAGTTGTTTTGTGTAGTTTGGTCAGAGGATGCAGGTTTTGGGCTGAGCTCAGAAACAAAGGCATTTTCTAGGACATGTTTGCTTTAGGAGAATCAGCACCTTGCAGGGAGGGTGAATTGTATTTTAGCTGGGATTTGTAATACTGCTTTCTGTACTTCACATAATGACAGAAGACATCAGTTTTTAGGTTTTAAGTACAGATTTCTTCTGACATAAGTAGCTATACATGATAAAAGCTTCATATATGCTCATATCATTAACTGGCTGGTTCTTAGCAATTGTTATCAGCGACATTCATGGGTCCTGCTTTGGCCTTTAGATAATTTTGGCAAATCTAGGTGAGCATTGCATTTAAGTTTCTGGTTTGCTTTGAGAACTGATTTTTGATGGTGGTTTTACTGCTCCTTCATATAGGAAGTAGCAAGTCCTAGGCTTTCAGTAAGACATTTTTTATATGAGGAATTTTAAGTATGTGCCAAACCAGTGTGTGCAAAGTATCCAAATGCAGAAGGGTTATTTTACATTTGAGGGGCAGATGTGACCATGCTCTCTATTAAACCAGCGTGGCAAGGCTCGGGAAGGGAACCTTTGCCAGCACATTTAGTTCCCTGAAAGTAACTTTTCCAGAGCAAAACATCTCTTGCATGGCAACCTGTCAAGACACTTTTTCTCCCTTTGCAGCCTGTGTACACACAAGTTTGGCTTGAGTTTGATAATAACATGCTGAAACCCCAAGTATTTAATACTTGTTTCACAAAGAACTCACTTGATAACAGGAGGCAGAAACACCTATTCTGGTTTTGAGTGTCTTTTTCCCCTTTCTCTGAGCGGTAAGAGGAGGTTGAAACTTCAGCTTTTTGCTTGTCAGCAGCTACAGTTGGTTTTGTGCAACCCCACTGAAGTGAGAAAACTTTGTTTCAAAACATTTAGAGCCTTTCTGTTTTATGTTTTAAAGTGTGTAAGAAAATGTGTTTCGTATCATGGAGCTGCTGTTGGGACATTGACTCAGGGGTGACTGTCAGGGAAGGAGCCTGTTCAGTGAATCACCAGTTTGGATACAACGCCTAAATCGAACCTTTGTTTGTGCTGCAACAGTAAATGTGATCATAATATGAAGAAGGTTTCAAAAATTAACAACTATATTGCATTTTGTAAGAATCTGCATGCATTATCTTCCTCTCAGGAATAAATTTGAAGGCTTGAATAGATTAGCAGGCTCTGTAATGAGATGGGAATGCGTTATTTTGAATGGATTTGGATTGATTTAGACAGGTTTTGGGTTAATTATGTTTGAGACACTTTGACTGTGACTAATAAGAAAATTACATGTAATCTAAACTTTAAGACCTAGAAATGTACACTGTTGTGCTTGAGCACTCAGGCTGCTCCTGCTGTGTCAGTGCCTGCCTGAAAAAAATGTAGGCAGTAAATAAAATACCAGTGAACAACTGGATGGGAGCTGCTCTGTATTGTTGGGAGGTCTTTGCTATAAACATTTTATTGTGCTCCATCTTATCAAGTCTGTATTTTGTGATACTTTGTGTAGAGCTTAATCTTAGTTTCTTTATTTGTTCCTGTCAAACACGTTAAACTTCAAGGCCCAGGTCACTGTACTGATTTAGATGCATTTAAACCTTTAATTTATGTCATAAAATCCGATTATGGGCTCTATTCGTAACCAACAAGTTGGAGTATAAATGGATGAATGTGCATATAAATGTTAGGAAGAATTGGCTAATGTGGATCTATGGGCTTTTTAATGTGCTTGGGACTCTCTTGAGGTGGGGAACTGTTACTGCTCTAACAGCTGTTCCTGTTGTACAGGTAGGACAACGTAGCTGTATCCTGCACATCTTTAAGGAATATCCTTTCATCCAGCTGATATTTCTCCCTGTCCCTTCCATTGCTCCTTGCACTGTGTGTAGGTGTGTGGATGAACAGAGGAGGGAAGGGGAGCTGTGATGTCCTTTGCTGTGATCTGCTCATTTGCCTTCCTGGCAGTTCGGCTTTGCCTTTACACCTTCCTCTCCTCAGACTTATGGATGATAATTGTTATTTTTTAAGGGCTAGGTTAAAATTGTAGCCAAATGCATCCTGCTGTGGCACTTTATCTCCCGTTCCAGCTCACCTTTGTTTCCACAATCCTCTAGTTTTCTTTGTGTACTTATAAAAAATATGCAAAATGTTGTGTTCCAAAGTTCTTCTGTACCTTGTTGTGACTTTCCTCACTAACTGTTGCCCTCAGTGTCCCAGATTGTTACTGGCATAGTTCAAGTACTACCTCGTGCCCCTTTTCTCAGGGATTTTTATTCCCCCCTAAACCATTACAGGCTTCTGACTCCCTTTGCAACTGATAATTCCTTACCTCCAAGGTTCAGCTTTCTCCTCTTGTTATCCATACTCCCGTGGCCTTCCTGGGAATTCTGCTTTCATCAAGGGTTGCTTCTGCTGAGTCTGTCCATTGGAAGTGCTTGTCTACACACACTGGATTTTTCACTACAAAATAGCTGCATAATGGAGAGCTCGTGGCTAAAACTGCACAGCCAAGCTGAGTGCTTTGGTGTTGGGTTTTGAAATGTTGCAATAAAAGTGTAGTTTAGTCCCTCTCCCAGTGAATTCCACTGCCACAAGCTACATCAAAGCAGCTCCCAGCCTGCCTATGGCTTGATTTAGAGACTCAATTAAGAGGAAACATTAAACAGATAGGGAGAAGGGGGAAAAGGTGATCTCTGTGAGCAGCTAATTATTCACTTCAATAATTCAGAGGATTTTACACTAATAGGTTGGAAAGTAAATACCACTTCACATAGATGTAGTATTCCATTATTTATACATTGATGAAATTGGGGGTTAATTAAGACTAAAGCAGAAGACTTTAAACCCTTAATAAAATATGTTGCTTTGGATAGTCAGTAAAGTGCCAGTAGATGGTGTTCCTTTACACAGAGGTGAGTTACTCTGTCAGACAGAACTCTGTTGTTTCACAGAGCAGCCTTCTAATGTCTGTAAAAAAGAATAACAGCTTTATAACTGTCATTTTTTCTCTTTATTTGGAACTTCTGTTTGTACTATTAACTTTACTGATTAATTGTGTGTATGCAATTATGTGTGCTGTGAAGGGGCCAGGATTGATGTCCTCTGCTCAGAGATGTGTCCAGAAAGGGCAGTGATCTATGATTTGCCTTTTGAACTCTCCAAGAGTGATTACTGTGCTTCTAATTTAGTTCCTTAGTCAACTCATCCCATTTAATATAAGTGCCATCTGTGTTAGAATGTGAATACAACATGGTAGAAACATTCCTGGAGGATGCAGTTTTTAGCTCCACACTGAAGTGGGGGACACACAGAACCAAAAGGCTGTGTTTTCAAAACATCTTCAACTCCCCTGATTTTTCTGGCCAGCAGGTACAATGTGCCTTTTATGTGCAGATTCCCCTGTAGTCTGGCTGAAATATATATAAATCCCACACAGGTGGGTGCTAAGTGAAAACCCCATAGTTTGCCCCTTGACCACTTGTGGAATATAGTCTGACTCATCTGGGACATGTCAATATGTTTGTTTTCAAAATTCTCTATTTTAGCAAAATCTCAGCGATTCCATGGGGTGAAATAGAGAGCAGTCCTTTGAAACTGTGCCAGTGCCTTCAGGCCAGGATTAAGGCATGCATCTTTAACAGCAAAAATAATTAACTGCTAGAACAATTTACATATGGATAGAGTGGTTTTTTTTTTTAAATATGGATGTCTTCTTGCAGTCTAGCCATTATAAGCCTGGGAATGAAGTTGCTGGATGTAGTTGTGTGATCTGCAATGTGTTAGAAAGTTGGCTGGGTAGTAGTAACTCCATTCTGGCTTCCTGACCTCTGAGCTGGGGAAGGAGCTGTCACTTGCACAGAGCAAGGTGGTGCCTGGTTTGAGGTGCTGTGGAATTCGTTTCATCTGTGTCTGTAGTGCAGTGATTTATGCAAATCCAGAAATGTAGGAATAACAGAAAATTTCTGAAAACAGCAGATTTCTTTGTGTTATAATTGTAACACTGTTGATCTGCACCATTGACAAAAATGAGCGTGCCAGTGCATGTTCTGTGGATATCCAACCACAAAGAACTCCTGACCCCTTACACAAGGAAAGGCAAGGAAAAAACCCTGCTGTCTGTTAATGTGGGATTCTCTGATATGCCTATTTCTGAATTTTCAGGAAGCCTGGGGAACAGAAGCATCCAAAGGAGCCTTCATCCTTGCAGTGCATGCATCTGGCAGTGGTGGCATGTGGGGACCGGCTGGAGGAGACGCTGATCATGCTGAAATCAGCGGTTCTCTTCAGCAACAGGAGACTCTGCTTTCACATTTTTGCTGAGGATTCCCTTAAGCCTGAATTTGAGAAGAAGGTGAGTTTCTTTGTCATTTGGTAAATAAATAAATAAACAAATGTTTTACTTATGAGTTGCAAATCTCTGAGAAGAATTACACGGACATCAACAAGTAGCAGCCGAGCTCATTGTTTACTGTACACAGTTATAAATTCCTTATGCATGCGCAGTTTTTTTTAAAAAGCTCTGTAACATGTAGTGTCTGATTCCTCCCATCGTGTCTTTCAGTTAAAGGAGTGGCCTTCCTCATACACAAAGAAGTTTGAATCCAACATCTACCCAATAACCTTCTCAGTAGGAAATGCTCAGGAATGGAAGAAGTTATTCAAACCATGTGCTGCCCAGCGCCTGTTTCTCCCGGTAAGGCACCTGGATTTCTGAGGAGGTTGCTTCAGGAAAAGGTTAATTCCACAGAAAGGAAGCTTTGCTGGTGCTACATTTAAACTGTTTTCAGGCCAAAACAGCTGCTTCAAGATATTTTGGTTTGTGCTTTAGACTCTGCAAAAAACAACACAGAAACCCAGCCTGGCTGTTTCTGGGCTAACAAAGGATGTGTGTTTCTGATTTGTCTCCAGTTCCATGAGCCTCTCGGGCTCTCCAGATCCTCCAGACTCCAGAGAAAGTGTGAGAGCTCTCTCAGGGCAGATCTTCTGGGGTAGATGCTGCATGCCTTGTGTAAATAACATTCTTTTCAACATGTCCTCTTCTCACACCATCTTTCTTTCCATATGTTAGCCCTTAAACTGATGCTCTCAGCAATCCCTTTTCCTCGAGTTTTATTTCTTTTTCCAAGACTGTCAGAATTACCCTTAAGGTAGTAATTCCAGTGTACTCAAAGTTAGATTTTGTGCAAGAGCTTCGTGTGTCTTGGGATCTTGAAATTCACTGAAAAGTTGTGTTATTTACTGTATAATATCTAGTGTCAGAAACTTGGAAAATAGTGAAGGTTGCTGGAGAGAAGGAAAGTGTTGATAACAATTTTGCATCTCAGAAATGGAAAGAACTTCTGCATAAAGCAGTTTCTGTGGAACTGAGAACATCTATCAAAAGTATCTCGTGCTTTGCTATTTATTGGGGTGACTCCAGTGAAGTGACAAGCTGTTCATATGGTCCAGATTTCTTCATTACTGTCTTATGAGATGTGGGGGGGGGGGGGACAAAGAAATCTTTACTCTGTCAGATGGAAGCAATCAGGAGACAGCTGCACGTCCAGATACGTAGCCTATGAATACATATGTGAGAAAATATGTGCTGTCAGCAGTTCTGTTGATCTGCCATTTAGGGGTGGACTATCAACTGCACAAAGGCCAGATGGGCTGAAAGTAACTCCAACTTCAGCAGGGATCCTCTATTCCCTGAGTAAATATTTGTATCACCTGGGAAATAATCCCTGAGCGTTCACTTGTTCAATACAGAGTGTTTGTCAGGATGTGCTGGGTAAACACAAATCTCTGCTCTTCTTATTTCTGTGGTGTTTTCTGTTATTTTGGTGGACTAACACAAGAGTGGTTATGGTTTCACTTTCATTTGTCATCACCCTTTTGATGAGAGAAAGGGGTTTCTGCTGATTCCTTCAGGCTGGGCAGTGCTTTTACGGATTCCTTTTTGTCACTCACACGTTGCCAAAGTTCTCCAGTAACTTTTTGTAAAGAATATTAGACTGTTGCACGTTGTCTTAGCAAAACAAGGAGGCTGCTTGGGCTGTAAATGTTTGTGTCTCTTGGGGCAGTTGCAAAATGTTGTGTGTGGTCAGGCTGAGGTTTTATGTCTTTGAATAGGAGGGGTTGTCCTAGAGGAGCTGCAGCTGACACCAAGTCAATGTGGATATAGTAAAGAAAACAAGCTGAGGTGGCAAGTGTCCAGTTGGGCTTTGGTACTCGAGCTTGCAGGCTGACAGAACCTTGGGCTGTTTCTGGGCAATTTCAGCCATCATTATTTTTGTTTTGGTGCTTGATAACTGGGTTCTGACATCCCATTTGAACTGCCTGTGCACAGCAGGAGCGGAGGGTTCCAAGTGTTATTCTTTAGATAACTATTTTTACTTTTATTTTAAATAAATACCAGCAGGATGTCAGTGTAATTTTTTTCTTGTCCTTCCCCGAACTGAGCATTTTCCCCTGCAGCAGCATAAAATGTGCCTGGATTTAGGGAGGACCCCAGGGGAGCAGTAGTTGAGTTTATCAGCTGTTTAGCTCTCAGTTGTGCAAATTGTCTTGCTCCTGATAATGCTAAGCCCGAGTGGAATGTGAGTCTTTGATTCACAAGTGCCTCTCCTGCCAAAGAAATCTCTGCTGCAGCACCAGCAGGCGTGTGAAAGTGGACAGGAGGGTATGAGGAATGTGTTAAGGGAAAATTGGGTAAGAACCTTTCAGTGGTTTTACCCACTGATAAATCTGGAGCTGTGGGAGGTGACCCTGCATTTGCAGAAAGGAACTGTCCTGGGTAACAGGTTGAGGTGCACATTCCCAGCTTGTTAAATCTACCTTGGATGCTAAAATACTAAGGAAGATTGTACAGCATCCCACATTTTTAGAGGCATTCTGTGACATCTGATCACGTTTAGCCACTTAGATGCAGATAATGCAGGTTGAGCCTCCGTGTAATCTCACAAGCCCCAATCTTTTGCTGCAGTTTGCTGCAGTAAAACCATCCAGGGCATTTGTAAAAACAAAGTTAGGAGGATGGAAATCTTTACATGAGCACAAAATGAAACTGTAACAATAAACTAGGAGTTTATTGCTGCTCTCACCAGTCACCTGAAACTGGTTTGTGCTACTGACATGGATGTTAAGACAGCGGGTGAAGAACATCCTCTGCTCCCAGGGATGTTGGTCCTGCAGAGCTGGCAGCAGCTGTCACCCTGCTGCTGGTCTGGAGCTACCAAAACAATCAGCTAAAGTATCCTGAAATGCTTAAGGGATTTTCAGATGATTTTTGGATGAACATTTAGAACCCTTCTCAAAACACTTAATCTACTTAAAGAGCTTTTAAGGTAGATTAGCAATATCCCTGTGTTATAGCTTTCCTCTTGAGGATGCTCAAGTATCCAACTCTGTGGATTGGTGGCAGCACTGGGAATAGATACCAGGGCATTATCTATACAAAGGTCTCTGTTGTAATTTGAGTTAATTGCTTACTACAACTAAGTTTACTAACTCAGCTGTGTGGTACTGTTACATTAGCATCAAGCTCTGTGATATGTCCCTAATTTTGGATAAAGCTGGGATAGGCTGCCATGCCAGCCCTCACAAACCCTTAGGTTTGTACAGCTTCACAGTACACCAGCATGTTTACCCAGGAGTGTGTTATTCCTTGCTAACCTTGCTAACACAGGGAGAATCTATGGAGACAGAAGTTGTGAAATCAAATTACAGATAATTGAGTATTTAAGTGAAGTGCCAGGCTAAATATAGCCGGTTCTGTGCAGAACTTTTTGACAGATTTATCAAGAATACTCTATATAGCTGCAAAGCAAAAAAAAATCACACTTCTTTTAAGCTGTAAGTGCCTGCAGAGCGAGGGGGAAGATAAGCACAGTCAAGGCGTGTTCCTGGCCATTCCTTCCCAAAATCCTGGTCTGTCAGGTGTGTCTGCATGGTTTGAGTGAGCTCAGACCTGCAGACACAGTCTGGTGTGGCTCCTGCTCCAGGTCAGCTGTGTGTAGTTTTTAAGCTGCGCTGCAGTTCCTGCAACATGAGGAACTGTCACAACCCCAGTCGGGGACATTAAATCCCCCCCCCTCCCCAAGGCACAGCCAGGAGGCATGTGAGCAATTCAAACTCACATCTCCAGGCTTTAAATGAGTCTTAACACTCCACATGTGAAAGAGAAAAGTGTGAAAGTCTTAAAGGAGGTAGCACAGCTTTTTTTTTTTCAGCCTGTTGGTTGTCGCTGCAGGGCAACACCTCAGACACAGGAGAGGGAAGAGTCTTTTGATGAACCAGCAAAGAGAGTGTGTGAACCCTGAGAGGAGGAATACAAGCTGGGGTCAGGTGCTGGTAGGCACCCACTGCACCAAGCACTGAAATACCTGCTTGAATCCATAGGAAAATGATTACAGTCCATTGACTTCCACAGACTTACATTGATTTATGTCTTGAAGGCTGCTGAAAGAGCGTTTTTCTGCTGGAGGAAGCAGTGCCTGGGTTGTCAGTTATGCATGGCAGGAGTGAGGAGTGTCTGTAGGCACCTGTTAAACTTCTGCCTTAACTGGGGGAAGCTTTTCCTGCTGGAAAATACCTGAACTTGTCTCTCTGCCGGTTCCCCCATAGAAAAAAAATCTTACATGGTCTATAGTGTGGATCCCACAGGCAAAGTCTAATAGCTTCTGCTCTCTGTGTGTTCTTGTGTAATCTCCTGTCTCAGACTAAATTTTGGAGTGATTTTTCTTTTTTTTAATATATTTTTATTTAGTAGGTACCTATGAATTAGGGCTTGTAGGTGCTGCAGAATAATTAACACACAATATCCAGGATATCCTTAAACTGAAAACCCTTTCTTCTTTTCAGCTGTCTGTCTTCTATTGATTTACAGTAGCTGTCTTTTTTATTGGTTTTGTCTTTAGGACTGGACTCTGGGACACTTAACATCTGCAAATATTTACTCTGAGCTCTTAGTGTGTTATTGAACTCTTTGTGTCATTCATTTATTGGTACCTCCACGTGCTGGTTTGTGTTTTTTTGTGGGAAAATGGTGTATTGCTGTAACATTCCATCCAGCAGAGTGATCTGAATTGTGTTGGATGTGTTTACTTGGAGATTGTTGTAAGTGTAACTTTGGTTTAAAATGCAGAGACACTTCCTTCTCCTGCTTGTCCTGTTCTGTAGGAAGAACATGTCGTTATCCTGTCAGAAATACAGGTCAGGGATTTGTTGAACTTGACTAAGTGTCAGTCTGAATCCTCAAGTGTTCAATCAGGTGAAAAATCTCATTTAAGTCCATCCTCACGGATTTGGCATCTCAGTGGATGCCTGTTGAGTGTTCTTAGAGGTGATACGTTTCACCCACTTGTTGAAAATCTTAATGTTATTCTCTTTATTTCAGAGGTAATCCTCAGTTACAATACGTTTGAATTTATGTAAAATTCAATTTCTTTGGTGGAATTTATTGTAACCTGCATAAATAGGAGGGCTTGTGATTAATATCATTGCAGTTGGAGGAGAGGGTGATTGTTGTGTTCCACAGTCTGGTGAAAATCCAAAGCCTTTTGGGTTTTCTTTTCAGAGCAAAAGAGAGAAAGAGAAATAGGGCTTTTGGCTGAGACCAGAGTAAGAAAATTTCAGTCCTTCAGGAATTTTTGGACAGTTTTAGCAAATAAGAAGAGCAGCAAACATGCAGTTGAACTGGTGGTCAGCTGTAGGTAATGACCTTTATTATTTGTCAAATGACCTTACCAACAGCAGGTGCAAACATCCTTGGACTGTTGAAGCACCTCCTGATTTGCCCCACTGGCATTCCTGAACTAGTGTGTAAGGATTTGGGCAGCCACAAGGGGGACCATGGTCAGCAGGAATAGATTAAATGTCCTGGCTCCAATCTGCAGTTCACACCCTTCTCCCTGACTAACCTCACTGGGGTTATTCTGATGGAGTCTGGTAACAGAGGTCTGAACCTGATCTGGTGAGTTTTCGTGTGACACTTCTGTTCAGCAAGCAAATTTTGCTCTTCAGGAGGGTGCACATACATCTGTGATTGCTGGGGTTGTCTTAATTAATGTGAAACACTTATATATACTAATACTGAATGCAAGTCAGTTGGTAACACAAGGTTGGAATACAAAAAACAGTCTCTAGAAAGGCATAAGGAAACATGGTACAAAATGGAGATGGAAAGTATTCTGCTCTCCTGGGTTACCCTTTCTGTCTGTGGAGAACACTCTATGCTTCACCACTTACAGATCTTGAAAAGAACTGACAAAGCTCTGTATATAGACATTATTTACATCCTATTTCTGAACTGATACTAAATAGTCCTTGCAGGTATTTTTGAGAGCTCAGTGTGTTGCTGTTCCATATGAAGGTTAATCCAACCTTTGTGCTCTGGTAGCTGTTTTACTGTGCAGATTAAAGAAAAAACAAACCACAACAAACAACAAGACAATAACCTGATAACTGTTGTTCCTCTGCGTAATTGCACTTAGCTGATAAACTGATAATTTGGAAGAGGTTATTGATTTAAAAGAAAAGCACTTTTTGCTAATAATCTTCCTGTTTGTTGCCTCTTTGATTTCTTTCTCCTCGCTGTGCAAACCCAAAAGGTCATCCTGAAGGATGTGGATTCCCTGCTTTACGTGGACACCGATGTTCTCTTCCTGAGGCCCATCGATGACATCTGGCACGTCCTGAAGGAGTTCAACTCCACCCAGCTGGCTGCCATGGCCCCGGAACACGAGATCCCCAAGATTGGCTGGTACAGCCGCTTTGCACGTCACCCTTATTACGGCACAACTGGAGTCAACTCCGGGGTGATGCTGATGAATTTAACGCGGATCCGCAGCACTCAGTTCAAGGTGAGAAGAGATGCAGCTGTTGCAGGAACTCAGGTTTTATGTGTTTTTCACATCTTGGAAAACTTAGTGTCAAATTATGTAAGTTTTGTAATATAAAGAATCAGAGAAATATGGGATTTATATAATTGCATGCTAAAAGCAACTAGTGAACGTGGTTATTAAAACACGTGAAACTTCCTCAAGAACCTGCAGCTGAAGCAAAATGGCTTCTTCAACATCTTACCTTCACTTGAAAACATATGAAAGAATAAACTCAAGGATCTTCAGTGCAGTCACTGTATTGTTTTTAAAATTGGAAAACTTGATGTGAAAATCCAGAGAAACTGGTAATTTTTGCATCTGTTGTAAATAGACTTTTGTACCCTGCTGCAGATAAGTGACTCCATGAACTGATGTGAGTGAGAAGGGAGCATTTTCATTGACATCTCTCCTCTTCTGTGAAAGACGTTTTTGTTTCATTGAGCACATATTCTGAAATCACTAAAACTCTGCTCACCCCAAGTGGTTCCTCATGCAAGGCCAGGGGTTTCACACACCATTGCAAGAACAGCTGGAGTAAAAAAAAAAACCACATTGCTCTCGATACCACAACTCCCAGGGAAGATGATCCTTAGGCTGTGTTTTTCCTTGGTTTTATAACTTGGTTTTCACCTTGTCTCTGCATTTTTCCGCTTTTCCACATTTTTCCCCCCCTGTTGCTCAGAATAGGAAGATTGTGACTAGAAGGAGCTGACATCAGAGCTGGACCCAGGAGACCTTGTTTCCCTGTTTATGCAAACAGGAGCACAGTCAGCTCTGCTGTTCCAGCCCTGTCCAGGTCTGACATTTCCTGGCAGTTCTTCATTTTTCACCTGGTGTCTGATGTGGCTTAGCAGACTTACAGATCTGTGTGTGCCCCACTCTGAGTCAGCTATCACAGCACTGATCACAGTATTAACCCCTTGCTTCTGTTTTTCTGCCCTGCAGAACAGCATCATACCAGGTGGTTTGACTTGGGAGGAAATGTTATATCCATTGTACCAGAAGTACAAAAATTACATTACGTGGGGAGACCAGGATTTACTAAATATCATTTTTTACTTTAACCCAGGTAAGTAATGATTCTTGGAGTTGTGATTATCTGCGCTAGGAAAATCTCTTGAACTTGATTTTTCCTTTAAGTGCTACTTGTTATTTATAATTTGCATAAATACTCTGGCATGAAGTTACTGTGTAAGTGCACCTTGGATTTACAACCCATGAATATACTTCTGACATTGCTGCAGGTAGTGGGACTTGGACTTGGTTCCATTGAATGTGTAAATTTGTTTTCTGGAGATTTTGAGAAAACAGTGAAGTACAGGATTAGCGATCAAAGGCAGGAATGGAGTTCAGGTCATATGTGAGCTTAAGGGCATCACTGGACCAGGGTGTAGCTGCAAAAATGTTTTTGTTTCAGATGTTTTCCTGAATGTGAAATTGCCAAACTTTCTCCGAAGCTATGCTCTGTTTTCCTGAAGTTCAGAATTTTGAGTATCAAATGAGTGACGAAGATAATATAGACAGAAAGTGGACACAGCCACTGGAATATCTTGTCTAAAACTGCTGCCCTCCCTGCTTCTGCTCCTTCACTAGAAGTTACTATTAGAGGAAGATGCTTCCAGCCTCTGAGCCAAGTGATCAGTCTCAGCAGGCACCAGGATAGTGTCATAGATATCCTGCTGGTGAAAAATGCAGGGATTTAAACACTGGAGCATAGTACAAGCTTCCCAAAGAAGCTGAGAACCTTATTTCATGCCTTGAATGGATGCTGAGTATCCATTCTTATTGCTTTTCCTGTTTCCTATGTGATCCAGTATTTCCTCGAGTGATCTTAAGAACGAAACAAGTTTGGATTTATCTTTATTTGTTCTGTTCCCTTTTATTCTTCTCTAAGGAGTCACAGGATAGGTAATTGGATATACCCAAATCCGGGCAAATAAGAGGAGTGAGCAGAAGCAAAGCAATAAGCAAACATCTGTTTACTACAGACAGATGTCAAACATCAGTGTCCCTGGTACACCACACATTACCCTTAGACCTAGGGAAAAAGAGAATGGGAATTAATTTCCAAAAGAAATGAATGTTATGGGAATAGGGGTTCCTGGAAGAAAAAAAGAAATTAGGCCAGATTAGTCATGAAGTCAAACTCAAGCTGCTAACTGAAGTGTGCAGCAAAAACCAAAGATTGCAAGAATATCTTAATTTTGAGATGAGTGTTTTCTATCAAAGCCACATGTTGGGACTCCTCTGCACCACAGTCCTTTCCTTGTAACTGGTAAATAATTTTTTGTGAATTACGTAACATCAGACTGCTCAAGAAAAGAAAACAAAAGAACTGGATACAAGTAACACAGAAAACTGGACTCTCTGAGGTTTTAAACTCTGGGTTGTTGAGACTGGCCTGTGAAGGAATCGGCCAAGATGCTGCAGGTGTCTTTTTGTAGATGCAAGTTAAACCCACACAGAACTATGTTACCTGGGGCCTGAGGAGCTGCTCCCTTTTCCCATCTCTGAGGGCTGTTCTCCCTTTCTGGAGAGTTCTCCTGCTACAGAGACCTTAAGGGAAGAAATGGTTCAGAAGCTTATTCTCCTACTCTTCAACAACCACATGGGACCAGGTGCAGCCTTCTGGGAAGCTGGGAAAGGCCAAGTGAAGAATTCAATCTTCAGCATTTCTGCCATGACCTGCTGGCACCAGACATGATTCATTGTTCTCCAGAGCCGAGGCAGAAAGGTCACAGGGACTGGTGTGATTTATGACAAGCAGATTGCAAGTTCTGTGTGCACAGAGAGAGTGTAAAAAAAATCAGTAGGAGAAAGCGAGTTACGAGCCCTTTTGAGGAATTAGGCTCATCTTTGAATAAAACCAGACCTATGAAATTAATGGGTGATAACTCTTAGGAGGGCTGTGAATAAAATACACGAGTCCTCATGCTCTGCTGTGTAACAAATTGTTGTGGCCTCCATGACAGCTTCAGCAGCAAACACTGGATGTACTTTGCAAGTTTTCCCATGCTGTCTCCAAAGGAGTCAGGATTTTAAGTAACCATAACTGCTGTGTGTGCTTCCCTAGTCCTTCATGTCACTCCAAAAACTTTTTCCTCTGGCAGAGGACACTGGATAGTGCCACCTGATATGTACTCACTGGGTTTGATTCTGCCACTTTCAGCTCTGTAAAGGGCTCCTTTTGGTTGTGTTTGCTCCCAGACTTTGTGTTGCCCTGTCTGTTGGTTCAGGACCAACATCTGAGGTGTGTATAGTCATCCTCTGAGGGAAGGAAGCATCTCCATCGAGCTGCTGCTTGCGATAATTGCAGAGGAAGTAACCGAACATTTCGTGGTCATCAGTCCCAGCTTTTCACAGAAACATGGTTTGATTTGTTCTAACTCTTGTTTGACTTGTCTTTTTCCCTTCCCTCTCCCCTGACTGACGTGGGCAGAGTGTCTCTATGTGTTCCCCTGCCAGTGGAACTACCGGCCTGACCACTGCATGTACGGCAGCAACTGCCGAGGGGCGGAGGAGGAGGGGGTCTCCATCCTGCACGGGAACAGGGGGGTCTACCACGATGACAAGCAGCCCACCTTCAAGGCACTCTACGAGGTGATCCGTGATGTGAGTCTGCTGCCTCCACACAGGCACTCCTTGTGTTTCAGTGTAGATTCCTGCTTTATTGGGATTGCTCTTCCAGCGTAGCTGTGTTTTGTGTAAACCCATCAGACACAACAGGACACGGCTGCTTTGGCTTCTGATATGTTTGAGGTGATTTAAACACTTCTCCATATTATAGTAAACTTCCAATCAGAAAGGCTGATGAACTGCTTTTCTGTAATATTGAAGCTAGGAAAAAAGTTTTGGAATGGAGTTCTTCCTGCTGGGAAGCAGCTCTGGTCTACAAATACCTGGTGCAAGTTTGTCCTCCCTGAGCACCTCGAGCCTCCAGGCACATGGAAGGCAGAGGCTTGCACACAGACCCAGTGCATGTGTCCCCTTGGAATGTGGTGTGTGTACAGCTCCACTCCCCAAAACAGTTTCCTTACAATGTCCCTATGTCAGTAAAGCTCCTGTAAATGCACACTCTGGAAGTGCAGTTTCTGGGAATTGGCTGTTTCAGGGAATATGCCAAGACAAACTTCTCTGAAAGCAGGTGCTCCCAAGCAGGGTTTGAAGTGATGGGCTTGGTGACACCTTGGACAGGTGAGGGGCAAGTCATTCCCTACCCATAGAAGGTTTTCTCTTACAGAAACTTCTAAAATGCCATTTCGCATCTAGTGAAAACTAATAATTCATTTTTTTCTTTTTCTTTAGTTTCCATTTGAAGACAATCTCTTCCAGTCCTTGTACTACCCTCTGCAGTCGAAGTTTCTGGATACAGTGCACACTTTATGTGGGAGAATTCCACAAGTATTTTTGAAGCAAATTGAGAAAACTATGAAGAAGGTGTATGAAAATCGTGTCATTGTCTACTTGGGGGCCAACCACAGATACTAATTGTAGCTCTGTTTTTACAGAGTTTTTAATTCTTGCACTCCATCTAATGAAGGATATAAATGAAGAATATGAACTCCTTTACTGAAACTCAGATTTAAGATATTTCCATATCCAATTTCCTAATAACTCCTGAAATTACAAAAAGCAGGAAATCCTAGAAGCCTACCTAAAGTGTTATTTCTTGGGCCTTTTTTCTCTTCCTATGTTTACTCTTGTTGCAACAGGGAGAGGTGATGATTCTTACTTTAATTTGGGTTTAGTTTGGGTATTTAAATACAGCTGTGTTCCTGTAACTTTCCTGAAACTGTGCAAAAGGTTGTGCTGCTCTGAGGCTTGACAAAGAAGTTATGGTTGGAGCTTTGTAACATGGGGACTCTTGAAATGATGGGGCAAATATTCTTGAGTGTCATGAGAATTCTGAATTACAGAAAAGATCACTCCTGTGACAGGATGAGTTAAAATTTACTGTAGTAAAGGGGAAGTATTTGCTTAAAAGGGTATTTCTGCTGAAGGTGTATTACCTGCTGTTCTTCACGTGTAGGACCTGAGATTTCCTGTACTTAAAAAGATTGGGGGAATAGAAGTGCCTGTTTCCTTTGTGTTTTACAGCACTTTTTGTCTAACGATTGTCATTTTTCACATCTGCTCTTCAGTAGTCTTGTGAGGGCTCCTCATGAGGAAGTAGAAGGAAAATACTTAAAGCATAAGACAACCACGTACAAGAAGTGGGAGGTGACTGCAGGGGAAGCTGTGGCACCTGCTCGGCTGACAGAGAAGAGCAGGAGAATCCTTTCCTGAATGGATACAGTCATGGTCCTGCTCCCCCAGTCCCTTACAGTTTAGGAATGTATTCTCTGCCTTGGTAACGTGAATTGCATTAGGTTCAGTCTAAGAATATTGTGAACGAAGAGGACAAAATCAGGGACTATGGATCCATTTTCCTCTAGAAGTGCTATTCACTGCACAGGAACAGTGGTATTCCACCAACAGCTGTCCCATCCCTGCCTTGGGAGACAGCCAGTGCTGCCTCTGACTCCCCTCTCCTGCTTTGCCAGAAACCTGGGGCATGGAAATGCATTTCTGCCTGGCACTTCCACTCCTGGAATCATAATCACAGAATCCTAGAGCAGTTTGGGTTGGAAGGGACCTTAAAGCCCATCAGTTCCACCTCCTGCCATGAGCAAGGACACTTTCCACTATCCCAGGTTGCTCCAAGCCCCATCCAGCATGGCCTTGAACACTTCCAGGGATGGGGAAGTCCAGAGGTTTATGCTGGGATCATAATGAATAGACTCAAAGTGAAAGAGCATTTGATGTTTATTTAAAATGATGTATTTAGCTTAGCTTTCCAAAGTATGATCATCTTAGGATATGCACAAAGAGCTTATTAAAGTTGCAGTAGCTGAAAGGTGCTTGGAACCAGTCCCTGGGGAACTGGAAGTGAGGACACTCCTAAAGAGCAGTGATCCAAGAGCAGACTCCCAGAGGGCATTTTCTAGGTGTAAGCCCCGAGGGTGTGTGTGGGCGAGTGATTGAAGAAAGCAGCAGAGAAAATGATCTTACTTTTCAAGTCTGTTCAGCAAAAAAACATTAGACATGACTTGGAACTGCTCGCTCTTGTGTCTAACAGGCAAAGTAGGAGAGGGGTGAGCAGGGTGAGAGAATTAAGCTTTCCTCTAATTAAAGGAAAACTGGCACAGATTGACATCCTGTACACGTAACATACATTTATTAGAGGTAAATGTTTGAGGTGTGTGAAACATCGTTTCCGGATGTTTCCAAGGTTAAAATAGCATTTCTGAAGAATTGCAGTTTTGGGGATTCTACTCTATCAAGTCAGGATGCACAGACTCTAAGAGAAAGCCCCTTTATCTCACACATCCTTTCTGCTTGTGTGGCAGCTCCCGAAAGGAAGGAAAACGTGGCCCTGTTGGCATCCTGGGCTGCCAGATACCAGCCTGTACATGGGATGGAGTGCTGACAAGCTTTTCCCAAACACCGGAGTGTGAAGGTGTCTGTGACACATTTGTGAGCGTGCTGGGTGTGTGACAGCCAGGCAGAGAGCAGGGACAGGGGTTTGGAGTAGGGGACAGTTGGTCTGGCAGTTCTGTGCTGGCCTGTGCCTGTGCCAGTCCTCACAGGCACGGCAGGGGAACAGAAATGTGTGTTTGCACCTCTGTGTGCTGCAAAGTGTAATCCACCAGTTTGATTAAACAATGTCGTTCTGACTCCATCTCTTATCTCCCCGTGTTTGCCACCACAGTGCAAATTGATGTGGGAAGAACAGAGGCAGCTCTGAGTTGTAGATGTTGCTGTCTCTCCAACTTTGCTTAGGATTTTTTATTCGACTGAAGTTTAAGTTGCCACTTTAAGGAACACTATACTTCTACCTATAGAGAAAGTTTGAAATTTAACCCAAATAGCATTCAAGAATTCAGAACCAGAAGGCAGAGAAAGGAAGGCTGAGCATGCTGGTTTAAGAAGTTTAAGATAATATGACAGGGAAACCTTTAGGCCAGCAGTTCTGAGAGCTTGTAAAAAGTATTAGCTTGCTTTTTGGTCTTTATTTTCACGTATCAGGGTAGAGCTGACAGCAGGTCAGACGAGGCTGGAGGAGCCACATGCTGGGAACGCCGAATTCCTCATTTCCATGGTGTCTCCAAGCCACAGAAAGCTGCAGAGCAAAGTCTTGCTGCCCAGACAGTCGCAGCCCCAGTGCTGAGGCTCCAGAGTTTGGGAGGCTGTGGTTGTGTAAGCTGTGATTCAGCAGAACCCTGCAACCACGGGCACATTCAAATGAAGGAGTGGAATTCATTACAAAACAAAGGCATTATTGCATATGAACTGGTTAGAGATTAAAGCACTGCTTTTAATGTTTACAGGAGGTGCTACATTTTGTTTAGGAAGAACTGTGTTACGTTCTCAACAGCTATTAAATATATAAAGTATTTGCTTTACATGGAAGACTTTTGTTAATGTAATATCGGCTGGCAGGAAGAATGGGGAGGTTCCCCCCTGCTGGGCTTTTTCTGAGGAAAAAAGCAATAATTTCAGCTCTCCAAAGTGTTTTAAAACAATTATGTAATTTTGTTTCTTCTTGTTGTTAGAATTATTAATTTATATTTTATTGCATCTTCCAAAACCATGTTATATTTTAGTTTTAACAGTAGTTGGTTGTAATATTCATCTTATTTAGAAGCCAGTTTTAATTCATTTTGTATTTCATACTTGTGGCTAATTCCTTGTTAATTAGCCTTCATTTATCTTAATAATGGGATGTGTAAATACTCATAAAGACTTTATGTCCTCATTTCCCCTTCCTCTCCTGTATTTTGGTTATTTCCAGTGGTATAACGTAAACACCTTCACTGATGTAACACCTTGAGCAGTGTCATCATTTCTTTAATGGACAGAACGTGCAGCACATGGGACGTGTTGGCAGCAGAGGAAAAGCATCACCTTTCCCACTGCGATGGGAAGGGCAGGTACAGCCCCGAGCCCTGAGCCTGGGTCAGCTGAGCCTGAGCCCTGGCCCAGCAGTGTTTGACACTGTCCATTCTGCCTGTGCAGAGCAGAGCTCAGGCTGTCACCCCGTCCTTGCTCTACCAGCCCCAAATATTCAGGGTTTCACTTGGCTGTATTTCCCTTGGACTTGCTGAAGACAGAGAAACAGGGGCTTTCTGTGAGGAGCTGCTGAGCCCCTCCCCTGAGCCCAGCGCCAGGTTGGAAGGTGCCAGTGCAGGTTGTACAGCAAAGAGCTGTGGTGTCATTTCTGTAAGGGGAAGGGGTTTACCTGTTTGTCTGATGATACAAGGTGGGCTTGGATAGAGCTCATCAGCATTTCGCCTGCAGTGGAGACTGGAAACTGCTGTGTGTGTGTGTGTGTGTGTGTAAAAATGTACCTTTTCTCTGTTGTTGATTTGCTTGTGTGTTTTCCTTTGACAAGTGCACTGACTGCTGTAGCTCCCAAGGAGGCCAAGCAGTGCATCTCTGGGTTGAGGACGCTTTGTCTTACAGTTCAAATAAATGAAGTTTTAAGCAAGCTCTGTAATTTGCTAGTTTTCTTTTAAATACAAGATTTTGTGTGTGTGTGCTGGGCCTGGTTGTGATGGAGTTTAGAAGTGATGTTACAGCCTATGTGTACAGGGTATGACAGCATGGAACAGAGATAAATGTTCCTCTTTTACAATTTTACTGTAGTGAGAGAGCGTGATATTGGATATAAAGAGACAAATATATTTAACTTTCCCCAAAATGCTCGTGTGTCATGCTGCAGCTCCAGTTGTGTTATGGTGAGTGTAGATCAGAATCTGATCTCAAAGGAAATGGTTTTACTCTTTACCGTTTCTCCATTTCATTTAGCAGCATTTTCCTTCCCTCTTTGTATTTTTTTGGTACTCTGTGTGACAGAAGCTTCCAGGTTGTCTGTTCAGCCAAACCAGTTGCCTGCCTGGTGCTGACATTGTTCTGATCTGGGTGGTGTGTGTTACACCCTCCACCATCACACTGTCCAGTGACCCAAGGTTTTTCCCTTGGAAACGTGGCTCTGGTCAGCTTTGCTGGGGGGAGAAGACAGTTTGTCCAAGCTGGGAATAAAGTACAGCTAACTGAAAAAAAAGTGAGACTGTAATAGGAGGATAAATCTTGACACTTTGTCAACTGTCAGAGCCAACTGTCAGGGAATGTTTTTCTCTTCTCCATCAGGTACAGTCAAATACAACAGCAGTAAAAAAACTGAGCACCCCTCCAGAGGTGGAATGGGACAGGACAGGTACATGGATTGTCCCTCTAGAGGCTGGAAATATTCCCCCACTGCTCTTGAGGACACTACGATGGCATCCTTACAGCTGCACCTCCCGCTGGCACCAGATAAGGAATTGCTCTTTGGGCTTCAAAAGAAATAGCAATGTTTGGAAATTTTGCTTTCAGTCTGGACTGGAATGAAAACCAAACTGTCAACACTTCCTTTGAAATGAAAATGGAGACAAAACACCAAAATAAGAATCAGCATTGAAGGTGAACAAAGGACTTTGTTAATGTTTTCTTTCGAGGTAAAATGTTTTGTGATGCCTTTTACGTTTCTATAAAAGTACCTTAATTGCTGCTGTTACTTTGTGAAAACTACAGTATAGTCCTAAAATGTGGAACACTGTCTTGGAACTAAAATGTTTTGGTAATGCTGAAATAATGACGCAGAAACCACACAGCCTTTTTTTTTAAAGACCTATTCTTGCAGAAATATCTTTCCCTAACCCTTCTGAAACAGGTTTATTCCCTGCTGTGGGGGTTAGAACTGTGCAAAGCAGGTGCCTTCTCAGGGTACACACCTTTAAAAAAACATTCCCATTCTGCTCAGGGCTTCCAAAGGGTGCTGTGGTTTGAATACAGCTTCCTCACACCTGAGGCTCCAGGTGAAAAAACAGGTCTGGTTTTAGTCTAACAGGTCTTGTAGTTTGTGGAGTGATCTGCAGGAAGCTCCTGTCCCAGGGATATACTGGAAGAAAGGTGTGAGAAAGCAGCTTGGAAAGAAAACTGCCCTGGCACTAGTTTGTCATGGGCTCTTGGATTAATAGCAGACAATCCGTGGGGACTCTGTGTCAGTGGCTGACCCAGGTAAAGCCAGGAATGTTTATCACATCCCACTGTTCCTTGTTCCTGTGGGTACTCTCAAAATGAATACTAACTCCCACAAATACCATTTTTCTGTTTTCAGCCTCTTTTTAAGGCACTGCACGTGAGCTGTTCAGATCTTTCAATACTCCCAAGTCCTCCAGAGTTTTTAAAAGCACATCAAAGATTTTTAGTCATTTTATTAGAGGAGGGACATAATTTGTCTCGAAGTGGCTGTGATATACTTCAAAGAAAAAAACAAAAAACTTCAATTCTGAATGGAAAGCAGAGACACAACTTTTAGGGTCATTTTATTGCACCATACTCAAATTTCTGCAGCTGTAAATTAAAACCAAACAATTCCCTATATTCCTTTTGTAAATCCTTTGATGTGTATCGATGTACAATATTTTCTGAAGACCTAAGTGGGACTTAAAACATGATTGTTCTCATTTTCTTATTGTTCTCACTGGATTCCGCTGCGTCTCGCTTGATGCTGTATTCAATGGCTACAGATTTTTTCAAAGCACAACAATCAATTTTGGTTCAAACTGGGTGGAAATACCTTACAAATTGCTGTCACATATCAGTGAATGAAAAGTTGAGTCAGGGACCTCTAGATACCTAATCTAAGCTGCATTACTGGGAGCAGAAGTATCTGCTGGTCCAACACCCCCCCATAATTTTAATTATTAATCCATGCCCAGGGGTTGGACAACCTATCACTCTCAAAAGATATGTTTTGCAGAAGCTTAAAAGAAATCTAAAATGTAAATGCGAATAGGGCTTTGTGTGAGTTTAACACAAGAAGAAAAACAAAATCTGGATTGTAAAACAGTTTCTCGTTATTCTTTAGTTAAGTGTTTAAACCACCACATCTTCCCCAAGAAGGTGATTTTTCTCATTGTTGGATCTCAGTGAATACAAGCAGGTTGGGAACTGACACAAAATGAAATCATCCTCTCTGTGTATGTTGTTATTACAAGGTGTGTCAAATACCTTACAAGGAGTAATTATCATTTCTGTTTCATTAATGAAGAAGCTGGAGGTGTGATTGCCTCACCCCTTTGCCCGAGATCACACAACAAATCGGTGATGAAACTTACCTACAAGCTTTTTGTATTCTAGGATTCTATTTAAATGTTTCACCTTTGAAAATGGAAGGAAAAGATTATTTGCTGTGAATTGAAATCTTTTCCAGTTAGTTAAGAGAGCTGGGCTGGAGTCTCTGAGGGCACTTGGTCTGTTCAGCCTGGAGGAGACAGGTCAGACCCCATCGGGGTCTGTGATGTCCTCCAGAGGGGCAGCTCCGTGACAGGGCCCCAGGAAACGGCTGGAGCTGTGTCAGGGGAGGTTTAGATTAAATATTGGGCAAAGGTTCTTTCCCCAGAGGGTGGTCGGGCACTGAACAGGCTCCCCAGGGCAGTGGGCACAGCTCCAAGGCTGACAGAGCTCAGGGAGCGTTTGGACAACGCTCTCAGGGACAGGGTGGGATTGCTGGGGTGTGCAGGGCCAGGAGTTGGACTGGATGATCCTTCTCTGTCCCTTCCAGCTCGAGATATTCTGTGATCTTGAACAATAAAAGGGAGACAGGCACGTCCCTGCAGAAACAGGGATTTGGTTGGTAAGCGTGGGGGAGGCGTATTCACCCTCACCCTGAGGGGGGAGGAAGGCACAGGAGCTCCCTGAGAGGCTGGCGCGGGGGAGGCTCTGCGTTCCCATCCCCTTCCCCGAGGATCTGCCTGGCTGAGGCGGCATGGGTAGAGCGATAACCCGCGGCCAAGAGGAGAAGAAGGGCAGAGCCTCCCCCAGAGCCTCCCTGGCTGTCGGTCGGGCGGGGCGGAGCGGAGCCTTTCCCGCGCCTTTCCCGCCTCCTCCCTCACGGCCGCGCGGCCACGCCCCCTCACGCGCCACCACCTCCCCTCGGGGCGGCCCCGCCCCTCGCGCTGCCACCGCCCCTCACTCGGCCCCGCCCCGCCCGTTGGCCCCGCCCCCTGTCCCCGCCCCCGGCGGGCGGGGCCGCGGGGCCGCGCACGGGCACGGCGCGGGCGCCATGTTGGAGCGTCGCTGAGCGCGGGGTCTCGCTGCGAGCGCGGCCCGGTCTGCGCGGGGCTGGGGCGGGGGAGCCGCGCGGAGCCGCGGGGGAATCGCCCGGGCGGACCATGGACGTCGAGAGGCTGCAGGAGGCGCTGAAAGGTGGCGGGCGGGGGCCGGCGGCGGGGTGTTGGGGAGCGGTGTCCCCGCGCTCGGGGGAGACGAGGGGTTCCTCAGACCCTGTGGGGGGAGCGCCCCGCGCTGAGGGCGGCGGGTCCCTCCCTCCCGACCCCCGCCGGGGTCCCCGCGCCGTGGGGAGGGGGCTGCTCGCTGTGAGGGGTCCCACGGAGCGGGGAGAGCGCGGGGGTCGCTATGGGGAAGGGGAGGACGGAGCCCCCGGTGCCGCTGCCCAGCGACCCTCAGGGCTGAGTGTGGGCCGTCAGTGGCCCCCGGCTCCGGGCCCGGGGCTACCCGGCCTGCCCGCCCCTTCCCCCGCGTCCCGGCCCCTTCCCCCGCGTTCCTGCCCTTTCTCCCCCGCATCCCTCCCCCTTCCCCTGTGTTCCTGCCCTTTCCCCCCGCATCCAGGCCCCTTCTCCCCCTTGTCCCGGCCCCTTCCCCGCATCCTGGCCCTGCCCGGACCTGTCCCCTTCTCCCTCTCTAGCCCACCCTGTGCTGGGCTCAGCCTGAGGAAATCGGCCTCTTTCTGTGCTGTAGCTGCTCAAAAGAAGTTGCAAATCAACTTCTGATACTCCGGTGCATGCGGTTTCTCCGCTGGAAAAATATTAAGTGTTTTACAGGGCTGGGAAAGCTGGTGGAGCTCTTGGGAGCAGCCGGAGCGTTGTGAGAGTGCGACAGTGTTTGTGTGGGAACTGTACTGATAGCTAAAGCAAATAGCTAACTATTGTGAATTGTTGTTCTGTCCCGTCTTCTTTTACCATTTCTTTTGTGTCCTTCTCATGCCAACAGATTTTGAGAAGAGAGGGAAGAAGGAAGTGTGTCCAATACTGGATCAGTTTCTTTGTCATGTGGCTAAGACTGGAGAGACGATGTAAGTGTGTGACTGTTTTGGTGGTCCTCAGTTGTGGCTTATAACAATTCTGCACTTTAAGTCAGTGAGATTCTACCAGGATTCTCTTTTTGCCTGTGGGTTGCTTCAGTGAGCTAAACAAGCTTTCCTTAGTACCCATAATTTTGGGCTGATTAGTTTTGTTTGCTGGTAGTTTTAACTAACGGGGGGAGACTTCTTTTATAGGCTTTGCCCAGGGGTATCTGTCAGGTCTTACTGATCCTGCTCAGCACGGTAAAAACCTGTTGCTTTTTCTTCATTTTACGTGAGATCAGGTTTTTTAAATGGCAAGTTCACCCTGTTGTAATTTCTGTTGTAAACTGTTGTAATAACTGTGTTTGCAGTATCTAATTGTGTCATTTCCATAAAGATATCAGTGGCTCAGAGTATTTCTCTGTGGGCTCTGTAACCGTGCTGTGATTGTGTCTGAGTGTTCTTGGTGAGGAGAACCGGGAGGTGCTTCCTGCAGAGGAGGTGCGTGGGAACTCGCCTGAATTCCCCTCGCTGTTCAGCTCGCACGGGAGTTTCCCTTTTCCCGGACTTTGTTCCCTGCCGTCCGGAGGTGTGAGGCAGCAGGAAGGAGCCGCGCTCCTGGTCAGGGATGAGCGCTGGTGCTGGGTGACTTCCTCGTGGATCACTATTTGGCAGGAAGGGGAAAGGCTTCCCCGGCTGCGTTGCTGTAGCTTTGCTCACTTTCTGGCTCCCAGGCTGTCTCCTTGTTTTTGAGGCCTAGTGCCAGACTACGGCTCCAGCAGGAGGGATGTGCTTTTACGAGTGTTTTGTGAGCAAGCAGTGACCACAGAGGCTTTGTTTGGGTTTCTAGAGTCCCTTCAACTTGTGAGAGGTTTGTAGGTTTTGATGTTTTTCTTTTTCTTTTTTTTTTTTTTTTGGTAGCTTGCAAGTTCTGCTTGGATTAATGGTTTAGAAAGAAAAACAAGTTCTGAAATGTACTTTGCTCTTTGAATAGAAGGCTCAGGCTCAGCAGACATACACAGCTGTAATGCTTAATATTTTGGGGTAGTGCTTATTATACAGAAAAAACACGCCACAGTAAGCCCATACTAAAATATGTTTAAAATATCCTGTTCTGAGATATTTCTTCAGGTTGTTTTTATTGTTTCTGCCACTATTACGTATATTCCAAAGTTATTTTAAAAAGTTATTTTATTGGGGTAAGTTCTTGGGGAAAATTATTACCTATCTGAAATTTGGAGAATGATTTTTTATTTTCACTTAGGAAATCTACATTTATTTTTTTATTATTTTTTATTTTTACAAACTTAAACCTGAACTGGAATCTGTCATCTGAAACTATACAGACCCTGCCCTCTATGTTTCCAGGTTTTCCTTGGGCTTTTTTTTTTTTAGGTCTGTAGCTCTTTTCAGCATTCTTGAACCTTTCAGTTGAATTAAATTGTTTTTTAAAAAATGTTAGATATGAACATCAGAGGTATCTAATATAATCTGGAGACAGATGTGGAAATATTGTTCTATAATGTTAAATTTGCTTCCCATTGTCTACCAAAGTCTGTATTTTTTTATCAAGCATGCTTGTGTTTTCACTGCTGTGTTATGTATAGATATATCAGGAAAAAATGAGTAAAAACTGAAATCTCATGGGATTCATTCATGTAAAGATTGGTAATGTGCATTTTAAGAACTTAACATAATTTTAAGCTGGTACAGCTTGACTGCTGTAAAAGTGTTCTTGAATATAGAAACCTACCAAATACATATAAATTTAAAATGAGCTAGATATTCTTTATTTCCTCTTATGCAAGAGTAACTTTGTTTAATAGAAATCTAACCCAGTAATAAATAGATACCTTGGCATGAGAAGTTAAAATAATAGTTTACATTTATTAGGATTTTTACAAAGTTCAGAGTATAGCTTAAAAAAAAAAAAGAGGCTGGTTAAGTCAGAGGTAATTGCACCGATGGTTTGCAGACTTGATTATTGAAAAACAATGGATCTTACTCAGTCACAGCC